TATTTATAAAATAAAATCATATCGTAATCGATAATGACGGTAATAGATTCTAGGTCTAGATGTTTGTACTTTAAGCCATGACTTCATTTATCTCAGTATCAAGTGATAATAATCCTTTATAGTACACTGCTTTACAATACGTTGGTGCGTGATGCTGCACTGTCTTTGAGAGAGTTTGACGGCAACTTGAACCAGCAGACAGTTGGTGATAGTATCTCCGTTTCCTAGCTCACGTGCGCAGGCATTTAGTACACAAAATCGCACCACTTTTACAAATCAAAATCCACTTCAAACCATTGCTTAAACAATAATACATGAGCAGCAATCCGCTACTGCACTGATCAAGTTCTTGCCAAATATTTGTAAACATAGATTATAAAATTTGTGGAAAGTTTGCAAATAAATGCTACATGTAACACTAAAGGTATGTTCCGAAATACAACGCAGTATACTGTCCAATGCAAATGACGTCATCATTTGACACTTTATTGTAGTAGCGTGCCGCCGCCATATTGTGTCGGATATCCGGCCATAATAAAACAATTTTTAATTGTGTGTTTGCCGAATGAAGCATGCCAGAATTTGTTTCTATTTATTCAAATACAAAAAATTATAGAATAATTTATGGTATATTTATTAGGAGGATATAATGATATTTGGAGCACAAAATGATAAAATAATCGCCAACACTTTTCCAAATGGCGCAAAAGTATGACGTCATATACTCATTGATTTATATGTTACACTAGATAAGTAATTTCCGCGCCAAAGCGTTGTCACTTCACATAAGGCCACAGCGTTATACTCAGCGAACGTCGGTTCAGTGTTCAAGGTGACGCCGTCCGAGTTAAGCCGAACGATTCACAACAAAAAATGGGTAAATGCGTAGTGAAAGAATGCGTTTCAAGGTCACAAAAACATAATAAATCAAGCGGAATCACTTTCCATACGTAAGTTTTAAATTATATATTCATATTAACGTTAAAAAATTAAATAAAATATCGAATATTGCAAATTAGGATCAATGTTGCAACTTTTCCGCCTTTGTGATTTTTCCACATTAATGGGAGACTGTATAATTTATGGAATAAGTTAATTTTGTTTTAAAATAAACAAGTAAAATTGATTGCTTAAAAATAAAAACTATGTTTCAACCTTTATACAAAATAATTATTCTTATTTTATTTTATTCATGAATTATCTATTAAATATATTTTACTACCTTATATCTTATATTAATAATTTTATATTAATTAAAATTTCATATAAATTTTATATTAATTATATTTCACTACCTATTTTATATTACTTGATTTATTAGTACAGTAAAAAATATTTATAAAAATATGTTTTATTTCATCATTATGTACTTCTAACTCATCTGATAAGCTTTGTATTCTTTTTTTCTAAGGGGACGCAATAAAGATTTTAAAATAAAATATACTTTCTTAATATAAAAACAATTAACTGAAGCTTAAAAAAAACTCATTTTTATTGCGTATTTTAGGTAAAATTTTATATAGTAAGCCACACCAACCCGCCGTTGCATGTTTGTGTGTCTATCTTTATCTAATTTTAGCGACGATATTGTTTACGTAACTTGTGTAAGTGAGATAGATATATGTTTATTTAAAATTGTTATTAGTTTCAAAGCTACGTCGTCGCGTTTGGATAGTGGTTACACATTTTTCGACGCGCGGTAATGTGGTTTGCTCCTCTAGTGTTGTATAACTCAATGCATATACTGTCCAATGTTTTGGAACGAATCACCAGTATAGCGTCGATTCATGATTTCTCTAATTCCACGTCACGTCAACCAAATTGACAAGTGCAATTAACGGAAGCAAACAGAACCAAAAGATTCAGAAATTCAGAATATTTAAGTTTATTTTATTTTGTGTAGCTCAAATTCAATAAAATAATGATAAGCGTATTAAATACTATCGATACAGGCCATGAAGATATGATACATGATGCTGAATTAGATTACTATGGATTACGATTAGCAACATGTTCTTCTGATAATTCGGTAAAGATTTATGACATCAAGAGCGGCACGCAGACTCTTGCCGCCGATTTGAAAGGCCACTTTGGACCAGTGTGGCAAATCGCATGGGCACACCCCAAATACGGTAATCTACTAGCTTCTTGTTCTTATGACAGAAAAGTCATTATTTGGAAAGAGTCTGGTGAATGGACAAAGCTATATGAATACACAGGTCATGAAAGTTCTGTAAACTCTGTAGCATGGGCTCCTGCCGAATACGGACTTATATTAGCATGTTGTAGCTCCGACGGGTCCATATCTATTATTACCTACAATCAAGATGGTGGTAATTGGGATGTTAAAAAGATTCCTGGCGCTCATGCTATTGGTGTAAACTCAATAAGCTGGTGTCCAGCAATATCTGCAGACCTTAATTTGGATCCTCTTAGTAATAAGGAAGCACCTAAAAGAATAGTATCTGGTGGATGTGACAATTTAATAAAGGTAATTAATAGTTTTAATGCAGTGAAATTACTAATTTATGGGTAAACTTTAGCATAACAACATTTCTTTCTTTAATAATTATTTACAGCAACTAGAAAATGTTAAAGACCTTTTCTGTTATATATATGCCTTGGTTTTGGAATAGCTTCTTTCTTTTACTTATAGTACAAAAGTTAGGTAAAATTGACAAAACACTTTCAACAGTATTACTTGTTTTTCTTACTATTGTTGGGCGAGTATTAGGCTATTATAATATAATTGATAATCACCAATGGAGTAGCATTAATATTCTGTTTTATTTCATTATAAATGCAATGTGTGAAGGATGAACTTCTAATTGCAGATTCAGATACTCCTTAGATGGAATTATAGCTCAATCATCAATCTAATAAAGATTTATGCTGGGGGATTTCATTCTCAAGGCTATAGTAATGCTCTTAAGTTTGTTAATTTTTATTGTTTATAACATAGATATGTAATGATATAAACTTATGGGAATCCACAGAAGATTAATAAGGAAACTATTTTTACTTTTCCTATGTTAACTTCAATATTCATACATTCACCACACCATAACCTTCTAAATGATTTTTCAGTTAGTATACCTATGGTGTGTTTTATTGGACTATTTATACTTTCTTACTTCTTTTTAAAAGGCCGGCAATGCATCTGCAATTCCCCTGGTGTTGCATTTGCTTATGGGCAGCGGTAATCACTTACCATCAGGTGAGCCGTATGCTTGTTTACCCCCTCTCCTATAAAAAAAAGGTTGTAAGTAATTGACTAGTACCAGTTTCAATTACTTGAAATTTTTGTATGATGTTGCAAAAATTATGCATTAATGCTCAGTCCAAAATTGAACAGTACACTTGTTTGCCCCGTCTCCTATAAAAAAAGGTTGTAAGTAATTGACTAGTACTAGTTTCAATTAGTTGAAATTTTTGTATGATGTTGCAAAAATGATGCATTAATGCTCAGTGCAAAATCGAACACTTTCTTTCTTTATTAACCTGTAAACATCAACTGCTGGGCAAGGAGATTTAGCAGTATGAGGAGTGCTGTGTTGTGAGCACTTGATTCTGCTGCTTGTCTTGTCTGAGTATTTTATGTCTCATGTAAGTGAGACAGTTATAACACATCTTTCGGAAAACACATATTAGACATTTTAAATTTGTATATATATATATATATATATATATATATATATATGTAAAATAATAATGTTTATAGATCTGGAGAGAACAAGGAGACCAATGGGTGGAAGAAAATCGTCTTGAAATGCACATGGATTGGGTGAGAGATGTTGCATGGGCACCCTCGCTAGGACTGCAACATTCCATGATTGCAAGCTGCTCACAAGACAAGAGAGTTGTCATCTGGACAAGCGATGACAATGTGTCTTGGACACCAACAATCCTTAACACCTTTGATGATGTTGTATGGAGTGTCAGTTGGTCACTAACTGGAAACATTTTAGCTGTTTCTGGTGGTGACAATAAAGTCAGTCTTTGGAGAGAGAATGCCGATGGGCAGTGGTTATGTATAAGTGAAGTCGCCAAAGGACTGGGTCAAACTCCAAGTGAAGAAAGAAGCACTCTTTAAGTTTATATGTTAATATATTTTTAATTTTTGAAATGATAATAATATAATAATTCATTAATTAATCAATATTTAATGATTTATTTTTCCTATATATCTTGAATGTTAAAGTGTTGAATTCACTCATCCTAAATAATTTGGAAATAAAAAAAGTATCCTTGAAAAGAAATTTAACATAGTGTATAAAATGCTATGTAGCAGAAGCCTAAGAGAATTTATCATCTCATTTAATGAATGTGGCTGAAGTTTACTTGGAAATCCTGGGTCTCACATAAGATGACAGAACATTGAGTCTCATTTACAGTAAAATGAGTTTTTTAGGCTCTATGTTGAGATTACAAATTATTACCACGAAAGAGGTCTGTGTCAATCAGCATACTACATACAGGCTGAATAATGAAAACACTACCTTCCAAAAAAATTTGTTTTGTATCAAGCGAAAAAGTGTTAAATTTATAAAAGACACTTAATAAACCTTCTAAACTACTTGTAATGGGTTTTTATTTAGACATAAATAAAACTTATAAAGAAGCCCAAACATCAGTCACTATAAGTTGGCATGTTCTTGGACAGGCCCTGCGAGGGCTTGAATAGGCTAGGGCTAGGCTATAAGTTAAAGTTACAACCAAGGGAGAATAATACTTCTCAAATATCAGCCTTATTCCGACAAGTGAAGTGTAGGGCGATCCCCACTAGGTGTAATCCGCCTACAAACTGACATAGCCAGTAGGTTGTTGAGACGAGGGCTTTGTGGTAATATATAGAGATCAATTATTAACTAGTGATTAGTGGACTCGTGGAAGGGCTGTTGTTATATAAAAATAAAATATCAGGGAAATGATTATCAATTACCATTGCAAATGTTTTATTTAATTGTATCATAATTTTATTAGGTATCACTTAATATATATCACATATTACTTAAATTAAATTCTATTAATTCTAACAACAAAGGCATCTTATAATATTCAGCAATTGTCTTAAATGTCATTAGTTGTACGTGTATTTCTTTTTGTGGGACCATTAGTGCAAAATCGCCAGCGCAGTCGCAAACAACAGTCAAGTTTTCTCTTTTTACCTGCAAGAAAAAATAAATAACATTGGCATAATTTAATACAATATATTTAAATTATAACAAAATTCCAACCATGTATGGGACTTCGATAAGTATAGGTACATAAGTATGGCTGCTAATTTTATTGTCTATTATAAATAAGTTTCTGTGATACAAAGATTATGGAACAGGAAGTGATTTAGTAATTAATTATTAAATATGGTTGATGAATTTGACTGTAATTTTTTGACAGTGTTTCAAACTATAAATTTAGCTGCACAGAATATTATGATGATGTCTTGAAAGATGTTCCTGTTTTGGTCAAAGCGACCACAGTCCACAGGAAGTCTGCAGTCTGTGAACATGTACAGGATCGCCCCCGTCACTACATCAGATTTGATAGACCACAAATCCTCGCTAAAGAACACCGATTCCTTCCAAGGATGATTCGCGAGGCTATTGAAATCAAAAAACATCCTAATTTCAATAGAGAAGATGGCTGGGTGCTACCATCTGATCCTATAATAAATAAAATTAAATCCCAACCCAAGCATACAACTGCAAGACTCCATGATACCATAAGTTCATACTGTGTAGATCGGAACAAAAGTTAAATTTTAATCTATGGTAACCGCGGTTAACTATGACAGCTGGACGTTGAACATCTCAGTCCTTCCCGTGACCATGGGTGCTGTAAAGCTCTCGAAACGTCGGGTAAAAAAGTTAAATATACGCGATAAATTCCGTAAAAATTAGTATTATTTCAAAGCGACCACTTCATAATAGTCACAAATTTTTTTGCTCACGTCTCAAGAATACCTGAGCAATGCATAAATTACCACAAAAGTGACCGTAATTAATAACCATAGAATACTATAAAACATACATAATAGAACGGAGGAGTGGGCGGAGCCCGTGTAGCCACTAAAATGTCACTAACATGTCAATTCCCACATATAACTGTCAACACAAGATGTGTTTTGACATTACAATCGTTTCCAAATTTAGCATGCAAATTATTTAGAAAATGTGAAATTGCATACTATTTACAAATAAATATGTATTTAAATTTAAATGATGATCTTGAACATTAATCAAAAGTCTAAAATATTTAAATTTACTCAGTCTATCAACACAGCGAATCGGGTTTGTAGTAGTGATAATACGACGTGATTGCTTGTATGTGTGCTCCCGGCGACGCCGACTCTAGTACAAAATAAGGTTGACAGCCATTCTATTGTGTATTATAGTATTCTATGTAAGTAACTATAACACATAATTACTAAAAATAAAAAACGGAAGTTGCCATACCTCTTGCCAAGCATGGCAACTATGGCAAATATCCCTACCCCCATGAGGCAATCTATGGGGAGGCTTGTATTCAGCAGTGAACTTTTAGGCCGTACCGTAATGGTATAACAAATTTCTATAAAATCGTAAAATAATCTCAGACCAAAAAAGAATGTTAAATGAGGGAATGCTGCATTATATTTCAGACACGGACTCACGCACACGTATTTCTTCTTTCTTCCTTTAATAGACCGAGAAAGTTAGCTGCATGTGCATTTAGCACACATGCACCCAAAACTGTTGTAAGTTAAAAGTTATTTTAGATTCATACTTGTGCATGAGTGCATATTCTGACGCGTATACGCAAAGCTCCGTATTTCTTTATTTTGGTGTGACATGGTAAATAGTATAATGCGATGATGTCATGTCTTTACAGTCAAAGAACTTTCCTCTTTGTATCTTTTTCAATAACCGAAAATTTAAAATAGAAACTCAACTAAGATTTAAGACACTTCTAGAAGCAGCCAATTCCAATTATAATATTGTTTTTGTGGTTGATACCCAGTTGGTAAACCTAATGAATGAATAAATATCGCATGTTATTAAAGAGAGAGTCACTCCTACTTACTTGATTGCATCTCGTACAAATAAGGTCCTGCAATGTGTAACTCATCGCCCGCCGATTCATAATTTCTATGAGCCTCCACTCCAATTCCTGATTATCGTATGGGGTGCCACAATTTGGGCACAGGCACACTGGTCTGAAATAGATAAATATATACATATAAACGGCTTTAGATGAAATTGGTCCCACCAGTTAGAGAATCATTCCGTCCGCAACAAGCGTTGAGAGTGGTACCCTGTATTAACGACTTCCTTAATTATCTAATTGTATGTACACAAAAGTCGATCATAGTGCGATATTTATTAGTGTCGTGATTACTGTACTAAGATTGTAGTTCATTCTAGTGGATTGAGTGAAAAACAATAAATCAGCAATTGCCGTCTCGTTCTCACATAGCATCGTCGGACTGTGGCAGTGCGGGGACCTCACTTCCTCACCGGTAGGCGTAAGGACAGCGCTATATTTTTTAACACGTTAAACGCCATGTAAGAAATGTGATTTTACTCCAAAAATTTTTTGTAGTCATTTTGTTAATAATCATGATATATGTATAGAAATCAGTTTTTATCGAAATCAAAAATACAGTTTTCAAGTTATTGCTGAAAAACTAGCCGCGGGCACCTGTGACCCCCATGGCGCTCAAAAGCAAAAAAGTTATTTTTCGTTTGCATGCGCCACGCCGCCCACCCCGCCGGTCACCCCGCGCTCCAGTCTATCGCCGGCGCTTGCGCGGAGAGGTTATGTTCGTTTGGTTTTTGGCTAATTAGAATACGTCTAAAGCATATTTCATGTTAGTTATGTTTAGTAATTCATTGCGATGGAAAATAATATAGTACCTAATAATGAGGAACGCGATTTTTGCGAATTTCAAATGGATATGGCGGACTTTGAATTGTCGCAAGAAGATTTGCAAGAGATTGAGACTTTGGAGTTCAACGCACTTCAGACATCGTTCAGGGACATCAGTAGCGACGATGAGTCTGAAAATTTACATGTTCCGAAGAAAAGAAGACGTATGGTTATCAATTCGGACAGTGAAAGCGATTCAGTAAAAGATTTTGTCCTACAAAATTTACCTACTTCTTCAAACACGTACACAAAATGGAAGAACCCTACTGGATGCACTGCTCGAGTGATACCCTTCACTGAGCCCACAGGTATGAAGTTTCCTTTTTCAAGAGACTTAAGTCAAGGAGATCCAGAGGATTTTTATTCTTTGTTAGTTGACGATTCCTTGTTTGAAATAATTGCTGAACAAAGTAACCTGTTTGCTACGCAAAGCTTTGGAGATAAAGATTTCAAGCCATGTTCTCGCTCACATACATGGCAGCCAACCGATAAGCATGAAATAAAACGATTTTTTGGACTAATTTTATTCATGGGCCTTGTGAAATTGCCATCAATTAGTGATTATTGGAGTACAGATGACATATTTCAACAACCGTTTCCTCGCACAGTGATGACTAGGAACAGATTTGAATTACTTTTACAGTACCTACACTTTGCCGACAATTACAACTTGAATCCGAACGATCGCATTGGAAAAATCAGGTATCTTGTAAATTTGTTAAATGATAAATTTAAAGCCTACTATGCCCCTAAAGAAGAACTGTGTGTCGACGAAAGTATGATTCCTTTTAGAGGTCGAGTCACTTAATATATATATAGGTCGACAATATAACAAATCTAAAAGGCACAAATACGGTATAAAATTGTTTAAAGTTTGTACAAATCCTGGTTATACTTTAAAAATACAGGTATACAGTGGAAAAAATATTGATATTGAGAATAATACCCCTACAAAAATAGTATTATCCCTGTGCGATGAACTCTTGAATAAAGGCCACACCATTGCCACTGATAACTGGTACACCAGCTTGGAACTGGCGTACGAATTACTAAAAAACGATACACATTTCCTGGGGACAGTGAGAAAGAACAGAAAGTACTTGCCTAGGAAAGTAGTAGAAACTAATTTAAAACGAGGTGAATTCGTAGCACAAGAAAACGATTGTGGCATCACAGTATTAAAATGGAAAGATAAAAGAGATGTTTTAATGCTGTCTACAAAGCACACGGACAAATTTACTCGATTAAATGTCAGAGGCAAGGCGGTGCAAAAACCAGCAATGGTTATTGATTATAACAAATGTAAAGCTTCAGTCGACATGAGTGATCAGATGACAGCTTATTCAACTCCACTGAGAAAAACTGTCAAATGGTATAGAAAATTGGCCATAGAATTGCTCTTGAATACAGCTGTGGTAAATGCGTTGATAATGTATAAGGAAACCACTAAGAAAAATATTTCAGTAGTAGATTATAGAAAAAATCTCGTTCAATATCTCACTAAATCAGGACGTCCAGAAACAGGTAACTTGGCACTTGAATTACGTCCAAAACGACGAAAACATGAACTTGTCAAAAAAGAGGGACCTGTACGCAAAATGAGACGATTTTGTGTCGGCTGTTACAAGAACAATGTAGAAAAGATGTCGAGAAAAGACGCAAAAAATAAGACCCTGAAAGTGTCTACCTATTGTTTGCAGTGTGATGGTCAGCCACATTATTTATTTTATTTTTATTTTATTTTTATTTATTAGGAAAACAAACAGTGTTTTATTACAAAACAACATAACTGAATTAAAACTATACACCATTTACATGTTTTCGCAATTGAAATTGCCTGCCATGTTTTAATAGAGAGCATCGAACGTAATTTGGACAATAATTTTTGTTTGTAATATTTTCAATATAACTTTTAAATTACTATCTAAATTGTTTTGTGAGCCTTTCTATGACCACGTGTAAAATATTGATATTTCTTTGTGATTGATATATTATTATGTTATTAAAACATTAATACTGTAAAAGATTTTTGTATCTTTTGAATCTTAAAACTACGATATTTAAAACCAAATTTTATATGAAACATTTTTTTTGCGTATTTTTCCCTACTTCTCATAATTTAGTACCTATTTTCTAAATTTTACTAGGCAGGTGTGTCCCACTGCAAAGGATTGCTCTCAAGCGCCGCGCCGGTCACTCACATAGGCGAAATAAACGACACGCGTGACCGGTGGCGCAAAAAAGCACTTTAAATTTAGATCTCGCATGTGGTCACCGGTGTCCCCCATGGCGCAATAAAGCAACATACATGAGGTCACCGGTGCCCCCCATGGCGTTTAACGTGTTAACTCTCTCACACCTGTGTAACTACAGATATACCTGCACACTACGATGTCTTTACAACGCACACCACCGAATGTGTTTTCATCGGACGGTGATATTCCTGCATCGGTAAAGAAGATTAGCGGCGAAAGTTTTATAACTACCCGTAAACGTAAACAAATGGAAAAGGATAAACCTGATACAAATATGATTAAATTTGATAATCAAATGCAAATATGGAATAAAACAATTAGCGATTGCATCGCAAATAGCATTGCCACCGCGGTAAATACAGCCCTAAAGGGCGAGCTATCAAAGATTACCTCTGCGTTATCAGAACTTAATGATAATGTGTTGAAACTTAACATGGATACTATCAACCTTAATAAATGATTGCACGAAGTTAACACCTGACTGTGCGAAATAGAGAAATCACTTAGCTTCTCAAATGAACGACAGGACTTATTTGATAGTCGACTGAAAACTGTAGAACAGAATAGGTATATATCACAATATAATGGCTTTAAAACTCAAATACAACTACTTGAGAACAAAGTACATACCATGGAACAGCAAGCCAGACAGTGCAATGTCGAAATAGCTAATATCCCCGACAGGCGAGGTGAGAATCTAATCAGCATAATGGAGTGTTTGGGCGATGCTATTAAGCATCCTTTACAATCATCCGACATAATAGCCATTCATCGTGTACCTCATGCTGACAAAAATGATCGACGTCCGAAGAATGTTATAGTAAAGTTCGCAAACAGGACACTGCGCGACAATGTGATTGCCGCCTGCCGTGCTACAAAAGGGTTAAATTCAACATCATTGTCCGTACCTGGCCAGCCTGCCACCATTTACGTAAACGAGCATTTAACGTTGAATAACAAATTGGTTTTTCGTCAGTGCCGGGAGGCTGCTAAGAAAAACGAATATAAATATGTATGGGTAAACATGGCACCGTTCTGGCTCGCAAGACGGATACTTAACCCGCTATCGCAATCAGATCCCTCCAGGACATCGCACGAATCAAATGAACAACACCCGGATGATAACAGGCAGCATTGCAACGTCATAAACAGGTTTAAAAATAAATTATTTACGCCTACATATGTAAACCTAACCAACTTTTATCATGATATTATGTGTCACAAGAAAATATACATTCCCAAATGGTTAAGTCAATGTCCCACATATTATATATTATAAGTAATCACACTTTTATAAGTAAATATTGTTATTACAATAGACTAGATACATGTGGTGTAATTTTTTGTACCTTCGTGTCTCAGACTTAAAGTGCACTCTTTTAAATTTAATTAATATCCTATTAGTATTATATGAAAGACATACACTTTGGTTAAATTGTTACTATCTGATCTGTTATATTTCAATATTATTTTAAATCATGCATAACTTTATTATTCAGGTACGCATAATCGTTTTTTATTGTTTTTTTGATATTTTTTGTCCATGTTCCTACAATTCAACGTGTGCATTTATACTGAATATCCTACTCTGTACCCACTGTTGCTCTAACAATTTGTATGCAATACCATATATTTTTCGATGCAAAATTCAATAACATAAATAACAATGTATTATCAGTCTACTATCAAAATTGCCGCGGTTTGAGAACTAAATTAAATACTATTTACATGAACATATTATCGCATAATTATGATGTTATAATATTAACCGAGACTTGGTTACATGATTGCATTGTAAACAATGAATTTGTGGATTCTCGCTACAACGTGTTCCGTTGCGACCGAGATCGCACTGTAAAAAAGCGTCACGATGGTGGCGGTGTGTTGGTGGCTGTGCTGCGCTCGCTGTGTGCAGTGCGCTGCGTGCCCGCACACCCCGCTGCCCCACTCGATATCCCACCCATCATTGATCATATTCTATTAGAATTTCGCATCGGTAAGTCTCATTATTTATTAAGCGCGAATTACATACCACCCGGTTTATATTCTGATATATATTTTACTTATTTTAATAAACTACAAGAGATTATACAGTTAAATGGATATGATAACTATTATTTAATTGGCGATTTCAATTTGCCTTGTCTTGACTGGATCTAGATGGAACTCAAGCAAAACTTCTAGGTTTAAGCAATATGCACCATATTTCTTAGTAAATTTTTGGTTTGAATAATATGAATAGGTTACTCAATTTATGCCTAACTAACATACACAACAGTAAAACCTTTTCTGCGCCTATCACTCTAGTCCCACCTGACGTACATCATCCTCCTTATTACCTCTTAATACCAATTGATAATAACTTATCCAAACCCATGCCAACGAATCCACGTTTAAGATATTGTTACAAGAACGCTAATTGTAAACAAATCAATAACGATATATTAGAAATTAATTGGTGTGAACTATTTCAAAATAAAACTGCCGAAGAAAGTGTTAACGTTTTCTATGAAAATATATTTGATCTTATATGTAAACCCGTTCCCTCTAAACCGGATTCCAACTCAAAATTTCCAGTATGGTTTACCCCTGCATTGATACACATATTTAAGAATAAAAACAAAGCTTGGATTAAGTGGAAAGTATATAAAAACAAATCTGATTATTCTACATTTTCAATGTATCGGGATAGGTTTAGGAAAGAATCATTGATTTGTTATAACAAATATATGAAGTCAGTAGACGACATTATTCCTAAAAATATTAAATACTTTTGGATTTACATAAAAAAAAGTCAAAATCAATCAGATATTCCAAATAGTGTTCACTATGACGGAACAGAGGCGGATAGTCCTGAGGGCATTTGTAACCTGTTTTCTTCCTTCTTTCATTCAGTTTTCCAGCCTTCTAATGTATCTGACTCCTTCTGTATTGACCATATAGATGATATAGACAATGGTATGCTCAATGACACCATTATTAGTGACATACAGCTATCATGAGCAGATGTCTTAAAGGAACTAAAGGCACTAGTTAGTATTACTAAAGGCGCAGGCCTTGATAACATTCCCCCTATTTTCATTAAAAATACTGCCGTAACCATATGTAAACCGTTGGTTATATTACATAATAAATGTCTTACAGAGGGTATATTTCCAGCTATGTGGAAGTCAGCCAGGATAACACCAATACATAAAGGAGGCATAAAAAGAGATGTAGTCAATTATCGTCCAATTTCAATCCTTCCCACTTTATCTAAACTTATGGAGAGGCTGGTGCACAATAATATCTATCCACTATTGCATAGGACCATCCTGCCACAACAACATGGAATTGTTCGTAAACGATCTACTACCACTAATCTTATTGTTTATACTTCTGAATTGTTTGACAATATAGACGCTAATACGCTAACCGATAGTGTTTATACAGATTTTCGAAAAGCGTTTGACCGAGTGGATCATAGAATACTGCTAGAAAAACTTGCTTTCAACGGGATTCGCGGAAATCTTTGGAGGTGGTTTAAGTCGTACATAACAAACAGAACACAAAAAGTGGTCATCAATGGATATGAATCAAGTACGGTTATTGTAACGTCTGGTGTGCCACAAGGATCTATCCTTGGCCCATATTATTCATTCTGTTTATTAACGATATAAATAATTGCTTTCAGCATTGTAATTTCTTATTATATGCAGATGACCTAAAAATTTATCGAACTATACATAATTCTAATGATCACCTCGAGTTCCAGGAGGACCTGAATAGATTTAACAATTACTGTAGCATTAACAAACTACAACTAAGTCTCGATAAATGTAAAGTTATTACATATACTAGAAAACGAGCGTGGAGGACACATAATTATCCCATAGGCGGCCACAATCTTACCAGAGTACAAACTATTCGCGATCTTGGAGTCACATTGGATACTAAGTTAACACTTGATGCACATGTTGATAACATATGTAGTAGGGCTTATAAAATGTATGGTTTTGTACTCCGAGCCAGTAATGACTTCGTACGTCCTAATACATATTTACATATTTATAAGACCTTAATCCCTTCACAATTAGAATATGCTGTTTGTATTTGGGATCCTTTGTAAGCTATCTGAGTATTTTATAAATACTCAGATAGCTTAGAAAGAGTGCAAAAGAAATTTCCGCGTTGTTTGCACTATAAATGCTGTCATAACTATCAGTCATACCACCTGCTATTGCAGAGATATAAACTCTTAGACTTGAAGTCTAGGAGAATACAAATGCAAGCCATGCCTTTGTATGACATTTGCCGTAATAGGTACGACTGCTCTGATATTGTCAATAATATTAACTAAAGAGTGCCTACTAGATCGTACATGCGAGCCTGTCGTTCGAAACACCTATTTGCCACACGAACATCACGCACTAACGCAGGCATGCGTGCACCTATTCGTCGTATACTAAATTCTTATAAACGCAACTTCAGTCATATAGATATTTTTGTAAATAGTGTAAGCGTTTACAGAAACTTAGTAATTAAGGAACTGCATGACACTGTATACTACACACAACAGTGAAAAATGTACAGATGAATAAAACTCTCAACCTGTAAAAACAATTTGTTCATAATGCTCGTGGTAAACGGTGTGGATGTCACAATTGTCAATAATGTATAGGTTAACACTATTATAACAATTTGTTATTGTGATGTTGTTTGTTTACCCAATAAATTGAAAAAAAAATTGATAGAAACGGCGGGTAGAAGTAAGTAAATATAATAAAAATAAGTAAGTATTCCGGTACTCACGTGTTGTGGCGCGTATCGGTGTGCATGTCGCGGCACATGTCGAAGTCGATGCACACGTTGCACACAGATGAACTCACACCGACTTACAAGTACATCGGTACTCACATGTCGTGGCGCATGTCGGTGTGCGTGTCGCGGCACACGTTGCAGATAAGCTCACACCAACTCACAAGTACACCGGTACTCATATGTCGTGGCGCGTGTCGGTGTGCGTGTCGCGGCACACGTTGCAGATAAGCTCATACCGACTCACAAGTACACCGGTACTCACATGTCGTGGCGCGTATCGGTGTGCGTGTCGCGGCACACGTTGCAGATAAGCTCACACCGACTCACAAGTACACCGGTACTCACATGTCGTGGCGCGTGTCGGTGTGCGTGTCGCGGCACACGTTGCAGATAAGCTCACACCGACTCACAAGTACACCGGTACTCACATATGTCGTGGCGCGTGTCGGTGTGCGTGTCGCGGCACACGTTGCAGATAAGCTCACACCGACTCACAAGTACACCGGTACTCACATGTCGTGGCGCGTGTCGGTGTGCGTGTCGCGGCACACGTTGCAGAGACGCTCACACCGACTCACAAGTACACCGGTACTCACTTGTTGTGGCGCATGTCGGACTGCGTGTCGCGGCACACGTTGCAGATAAGCTCACACCGACTCACAAGTACACCGGTACTCACATGTCGTGGCGCGTGTCGGTGTGCGTGTCGTGGCACACGTTGCAGATAAGCTCACACCGGCTCACAAGTATACCGGTACTCACATGTCGTTGCGTGTTTCGGTGTGCGTGTCGCGGCACACGTTGCAAATAAGCTAACACCGACTCACAAGTACACCGGTACTCACATGTCGTGGCGCGTGTTGGACTACGTGTCGCGGCTCACGTTGCAGATGAGCTCACACCGATTCACGAGTACACCGGTACTCACGTGTCGTGGCGCGTGTCGGTGTGCGTGTCGCGGCACACGTTGCAGATAAGCTCACACCGACTCACAAGTACACCGGTACTCACATGTCGTGGCGCGTATCGGTGTGCGTGTCGCGGCACACGTTGCAGATAAGCTCACACCGACTCACCAGTACACCGATACTCACGTGTCGTGGCGCGTGTCGGTGTGCGTGTCGCGGCACAGGTCCAGGTCGCGGTACACCTTGCACACGCTGCAGGTGAGCTCAACCGACTACCAGAGGTTCGGTAGCAGGCTCACGTAACCGGTACTCACATGTCGTGGCGCACGTCGGTGTGCGTGTCGCGGCACAGGTCCAGGTCGCGGTACACCTTGCACACGCTGTAGGTGAGCTCACACCGACTCACCAGTACACCGGTACTCACATGTCGTGGCGCGTGTCGGTGTGCGTGTCGCGGCACAGGTCCAGGTCGCGGTACACCTTGCACACGCTGCAGGTGAGCTCACACCGACTCACCAGTACACCGGTACTCACATGTCGTGGCGCATGTCGGTGTGCGTGTCGCGGCACAGGTCCAGGTCGCGGCACACGTTGCACACGTTGCAGATGAGCTCGGGCAGCACGCATGAAGCACACGGCTCACGCCACTGCGCCGCATCGCTGAACTCGCCCACGCCGATCAGACGCAGCAAGTTTCTGCGCAGCAGCGTCACCTGTGAGATGCAATAGATTAGACTCATTTTCATTCAATACAGATTACAAGAATACTTATTGAAATTTATTTAAGTTTTATCACTGCACTGTTTCGGGAAAAACCACTGGGAAGAACCAGTAAGAAAGGTAGTGAGACTTTTTTTAAACACTAATTTACAATATAATATTTTGTACAATTAAGTATGAAAACAGTGTGGTATCGATCACCTCACTCTCAGAGGTCATTATAAATCATGTACTCTTCCGTAGTATAATAATAACCCTTACTAAACAATTTTTTTCGTTTTTTAATAGGTCCCGCATATTTTCTGGGACTTTGTCGTAAAAGCATATACATTGCTCTATCAAGGAATTCTCTGACTCTGGAAGTTTCGAGTGACTGGAATAACTACATTGTATTTATAGAATGTACATTACTATTTTATTCAAAAGTATTTTTGTTTTTGTGTGCGTACATTAAATATTCGTACATATACTGAGAGGCCAAAGTGACTATATTTGTTTGTTTAACCCCTCAGCCCCCTTAAAATTCCCATGCAGACGCATGCGTGCGTCAAATCCCGAGCGGTCGCATGCGACCGCACCCACCCACAGCTCTTTAAACTATTAAAACATATTTAGAGACTACTTTTCTATGAAGAAGTTTTGCATTATAAAATCTATAAAAAATTCTCTACATAAAAGTCAGGTTTTACTTCATTACAAAAATACTATTATATTTTGATAACAAAAACAAAACATACCAAACGAATTTCGGCAGCGTGAAAATCACAATTATTTATATTACTCGAAGTTATTTACATAAAAAGATAAATTGTATTCATACCAAAACTTTCGTTACAATTTTATAATAAAACACTAGAAAATCAACACAATAACATTCACGCGAAAACGGCGTACGAAATGAACGTAGATTATAAATAAATATCCATAGTATAACCGTTTTTTATTGCACTAGAGTATAGAAAAATTCATATTAATTCAACATTGCCAAACTTCTTCCTAGAAAGGTAGTCTCTAAATATAAGTTTTAATGGTTTAAAGTGCTGTCGAATCAGACCGCTTGAATTTTAACGGAATAGCGCCGCGGTCGAATTCGACCGCTTAGAGATTGAATGGTTAAACTTCGGACCCAGGTTAGCAAATTGTTCTTATTGATCTCTTCTGCAAAACAAAGTTAGTTAGTTTCAATGTCATGATGAATTTCAATAACAAGATTCCATGTGACATTATGCTATGGAAATACTAAAATTAACGAATCTAGCTGTTTCATTACATGTCAATCTTTTTTACAGCATATGCTGCAGAACTATAGTATAACTTGTTAGCCAGTTTAGGTATATGGGAACCCATGTGAGCTTCGCGTCAACTATAATTCCAAGATAAACAGTGGATTCAACAAGACTCAGATACTCCTCATTTAAAAGTACGCTGGTATTCGCCGGTTTAATAATTGGTGTTGTAAGTTTAGTACATTTAGTTATACTCCCGTTAAAAGTGAATTGTTGATGTTAAACCAGTGTACTACTTTTGATATGACATTATTCACTTCATATTTTAATAATTGGCGTTTAAGTTGGAAAATCAATGAAGTATAAACATATAAAACTACATCATGGTCAATCATATAATCATGGAAGGGACCAAGAATTTAGCCCTGAGGAACACCCATAGATACTATTCATTTCGGAAAAACTACTCTCATTGATAATAACTGTTTACGTTCCTTTATTTCAATATGATTTAATAATTTCAAGCGCTATGATTTTACACCATACAGATGTAGCTTCCTGATTAATGTCTCGGGGTGAATAAAGTCGAAAGCTTTGGAAAGATGACAAAATATACACAAAGCATCTTCTGAATTCTTCCATAAATAATAATATGTTTAATCAGCTTAACACCGGCTTCAGTTGTCGAGTTACCCCTTGTAAAACAAAACTGATTTTTGTGGAACAATTTATTTGCACGAAAAAAAAAACTTATCATTTCATTCAAAATATATTTTTAGAAATAGGTCTAAAATTAGTAGGATCCAAAATACTACCAAATTATTATTATTTGTGTACATTATTTTGCTTCGCAATACCTGATCCTCCAGCGCAGTATCCAGCGAGAGCACCTTGCAGACCGCGTTCACGAACAGCAGCGCAGGCGTGGCGTCGGCGTCGAATGCGTCGGCCCGCAGCCCTGGCTGCGGCTCGATGTCGCCGGCCCGGAGAGTGGGCATACGCGTGTTTATCTTCTCTGTCACCCTATACCGTATGGAACTGTTAATTCACACTCTTTCCACCGTATTACACAATGTAACACCATGTAGTAGAAGAATAATAAATAGTATAGTAATGACATAGAGCAACACGGCCTGTGTCACGGCCAGCTGTCCAGAGGGGCGTAGCCGTAGTGTTTTTCCCCGATACTGTCTGTCATTTTTTGCGGGGGGGAATCTGCGCACATAAAAACAATCGACACATAACAATTAAGTCAATGGACTATCAATTACACACACAATTACATATATTATAAAAGTATCGCACAGTGAGAGCGATAACTTGGATACAGACTCGGATCAGTCGCTCGATCGATCTACACATTGTATGAGGGACTTACGTTTGCGACAGCTTAGGGAGGGTGGATGCGAAAGGAGACGAAGACTTTTTCTTATATTACTTTTATTTTCTACCTTACAAGATAACTACTGTGACAATGTTTCAACCTTGGTTTTTATACAACGTTGAGTAAATTGAGTCACGTTTAAAGACGTGCTGTTATTTGCCTAGCAGGCGGTGCCGTATGGTAGGTATCTTCGTGATGGTAGGCGGGTTGGACGGTATGCAAGGTCAGTAGGTACATATAACTCCTCCACCATCAGCGCGGTGGCTATTGCAGCACATTCAGCCAAAATGTCACCGGGACGTCTGCGAGGATTCCCACTCGTATAACATTTGAAGGATTTTCTTGGGTTTTCTTCTTGGTATGTATCGTTGAATTAATATAACAACAGTCATTATAATAGTTGTAGCAGCCATTACAGTATAAAAAGGAATAGTTGTATGATACAACGGATCCACTCGTGCATTATCTATCTGCAATAGAACTTTTAATATGACTTTTTCGGGATCGGTTCTCCGTGAGATCTGGTATTTATGTTAGCTTGGGAGGATCTCCCTTAACTTCATCGTTGCTGTTCACAAGTATAAATTCTTGATTTCAATTTACAACCAGCAATCAGATTCCGCATGAAGCTCGTCTATTTGGGTTGTACGAAAGAAATCAGATGCCTCAGGTAGGAAAAAAAAAGTCAAGCAAGCTTGCTAGTTTTTTAATGAATTTTCTAAGGTTTTTAACAATATAACCATTTTTTTCAATTAATTGATAATAGTGTCCAGTATCAGTTATGTTATTTTTTATTTATGTAATGTGTGATTACTCAAAGTAATTTTCAAGCATCTTCGAGACGCGCACTTCGCACTTAACTCGCCGAAAAATAGACCGGCCTGCTATCCCGTTCAACTTAATTGTTAATTTGCTACTTAACTTACTAATTGCCGTTTAAACGAGATTTTCTACTTAACTCGCCAGGTTTGCAAGTTAACTCGCTACTGTACTTGTGGAAGCGTAAATTGGTCTTAACCGAAAGTAATTTATACTTAATCTAAGGCTCAAAGTAAAATCTGCTTTAATTTTTCTTTAGTTTTTTCTGCAGCTGTATTATGGTTGCAGCATGAATTGGTTGACACGACCGATGAAGGACCAACCTCTCTAGAATACCAGCGCAAAATAGCAACTTAATGCCGCTGTGTTTCGTACGGTGAGTGAGGAGAACCGGAGACACTACCCACCAGATTATGGATGCTGTACCCCAAAGACGCCTACACTTATCTTCGATTAATAATCACTTGACACGTTGTTACCTCGTGAGGAAAGTAATGTAAGACAGTATGCCTCATTACCAATGAAAAGAGTCTCCGTACGAAACACAGCAACATTATGCCGCTAATTTTCTTTGGAATTCTGTGAGGTCCTTCCTTCATTGACCAGACTTCCTTACTACGCTATTAATATATTTATTTTTCATTTAAATGGTATTAAAATGTATCGCACCTAGCAGGAGCTGTAGAATATTATAACAATAAGTATTCAAGAAAGAGCAAAACCAGAAATGTATTCTCACTGGAAGAGTTTTTGCGAGATCTCTCCCGCAACTAAAGCTGCAAGTCTGTCTGGTTCACTGTATGCCGCACTCAGGAAACCTGCCACTGCCGCTGAAAACTGCTCGCGAACTGCACGAGGGAGGAATTTGGCCAAGTTCCACTGCATTGTTACGGCGCCCTGCAATATCACAAAAATAAAGAAATGGTTGGCTTGATGAGCAACACGAGTTCAATTTAATATCCTTTGATATAATAAAAAAATTTATATATAAATATATAAAATGTATGAGTAATGAAGAAACGACCCCCTTCTCACAGAATTCAAACCAAAAATAATTAATGCAGATAAACAATTACAAAGTGTTAACTGTGCAACATATATCACAGTTATATTTTGATGTTTATATATAAAGAGACCAAAAATACACCCCAGCGGTAACCCCATTTTGCCACAGCAAGTATTTAAGCTGTGAGATTTCTTGTTTTGGTTCGTAGTTGATTGCATTATTAGATTGATTGCCGAATGAAATTGGACAGTGGTTGTCATTAAAAAGCTAATTTCTTGTTCAAAACGAACTTAGCAAAAGACTATAGGCAGACGGTGGTCAACCATTGAAAATATCTATTAAACTATGTATTTAAAGTATTTTGGTTGAATTTCTTTAAGTTTTGGTACGATTACTGACTACTGTGTAGTTAATTAATAGAATCAGGCATTCATTGCGCAATTGCGCCTGTATTTCCCCTGGTGTTGCAGTTGTTCGTGGGCGGCGGTCGACACTTACAATCAAGTGAGCCGCATGCTAATTTTCCCGCTCTTCTATAAAAATGCAGTAATCCAGACAATAACAATGTAAGTTGTGGTCGCTACATAAGCGTAAGCTGTATAATTGGGTAGCTGGTTTTGCTCACTGCTCACTTGGTGTCAGCAATCGCAGAGACTATTTCTCTTGATGATGCTTCGTTTAGAGACGAAACAAGTGTCGTATTATCATTAACGTTGGTGTGTGTATTTTTCCTAGTGTAGTAGTGTAGTGATACCAGTTTCTTGACTCCACAGAGTCAGTAATTTTTTTATTTCCTTTTGTTTTGTGTGTAACCTGTTTGTACATATATGGTAAAATTTATTAAAAAAGTCCCGCTGGGTTTCTTGTTGGTTATTCCCAGGACAGAGATAAGTAGCAAATAACTTTCAATAAGAATTACATGTGATCTAAATTGAATAAAAATTATTCTATTCTACTGATAGTGCAGGCAATTAAAAAAGGGTTGGAGGTGCAATTTTAAAATAGATAAGTTATTTTTTATTTTTTTACGAATATTCTGTGTATTAACTCGAGGATTATGTAGTAGACTATTAAAATTTCGATAGAAAAAAATAAGTCCAAACTGATACTAAATAATTGAAAATTTAAAACAGCAAGTACACATTTCCAAATGATTTAAAACATACACAAGTAAAGCTATGGTTAAAACAACCACAGTACGTCCTGTGCAAAACATAATTAGTTGGGCTTTAAAAAAGTAATTTTATTCAATAACCAAATGTAATTTCCTCGTACCTCGTCTTCTGTTTGCGTATCTTCACTCGCTGGCGGTGCTTGCGACGAGCCCACTTCCACTAATCCTTCAGGCAATTTACCCTGCAGACAATAAATTTGCGTCTAAATGTATGACTACAGAATAAAATAAAACTATACAAATAATGCTTTAATAATTGCAATAGTGATGGCCCGATAACATTTTAATAACGAGTTGATAATCCACCTGATGACTTAGCTTAGACCAACAAAGTAAGATAAACGTACACATCCGAACGATAAGTGAAGCTGAAGCCTAACCAAAATCATGCTCAACTTAGTGTAAGAACTTGAAACCAGCAACATGTTTTTTGGTGCATATTGTGCAATTGAAATATGGATGCTTACAGTACAAACTAAATCTGCATAATGCGCAATAGCTTTCGACTGAAACTCAATTTAGTTTTTGTCAAAATTTAACTGTTCTAACCTCGAACTGCCTTTTTTACACATTCTTTACAGCCTATTTAAAGTAATGTACTTGACAAATATACATAGGTACGTATCCGTATGTACTATGTTTGTAAATATTATAACTACTTATAAAACTAGATGAGACTTAGCTGTTGAACAAAAAGACAGTGACAACCCTGCAACAGTAGGCATTCAAGTCTACTATTGTGTTTTTACTATGACAAAAGTGTCCTTCTTAAATAGCTTAATAGGGTTTTGCTAGTGGCTACCCTCTCGAGCGCCCGGCCACCGTTTTACGGTGGACTGTTTTACCCCCGATAAGCGCCCATCGACCGTTATACGGTGGTGACGTAGTTGTCCCAAATAATATTAAAATGAAAAGCCGAAATAATGTTTGGCTCTTTCTAACGTATACTATATTTAAGCTAATGAAACGTTTAACAGATTTAATACACAAGCACGTATAGTTTCGACGATTGTTAAAACAAACAATCAGCTAAACTTATCGGTAGAACTTATCATATCGCTTTGGCCGCTTAGTTAACTTCGAGCTGTGAATTTATTCTGTTGTAATTTGAGTATCGCGAGAAGAAAGTTTTTGGTAAGTAGCTAATGTTATTCATAATATATCGTAATATAATTTTCATTATAGTTTTGCTACTAAGAACTTGTTTTGCAATATTTAGATTAGACCATGTGCCTAGTCAAACAAAACCGTTGCAAAAATCGTTTTAGATTTTAAGATATAAGAAATATTTCTGCTAGAGTTTTTCTTCTAATGGGAGAAATTATCATGAACTATTATTATATCTTAAAAAAAGATATACACAGTGCTTAAAATAAATCTAAATAACAAAATTATAAGAGGATGTCTTGAATAACCGTGATACGGTGGCGGGACGCTCCGAATTCTGAAGTCATAATGGCATCGAAATATAAATTTACAAATGAACATAGAAATCGTGGAGAGGCCTGAAGATATTTGTAGTCTAATAAGTTGGTATTCAAATATTATATATATATATATATATATATATATATATATGTATGTATATATATATATATACCTACTGTAAGGATACCTATTTTATGTACCTATTTTATTTTATTTTTACCTAACTATTAACTATTTAATGTTTTAAATTGTTTTCAGATTTAGCTATATAGGAGGATAAGAGATATAGTGTGACAGTATTTCAATATGTCGTAAGTATTTCACTGTGATATTTTAACAAGTTGTACTTACGTTTATAAAGTAAATATATTTGTAATTAAAAATTTTCCATGTTTCTCAGGATTTTAAGAATGCAGAAATAAGTGTTTGTAGAAACGGCCGAGGTGGGGAGAAATTGCGCAGGGTTTGCGTTGTATGCCGTAAACGCACCCGCGTTTATTACCCTGGTTGCAACGTGACTTTGTGCCCGTTTACTTGCTTTGCACAACATCACGCCACTAAATAATTTTAAGCATTTGAACCGACTTCTTAAAAGTAGGATGTTCTTAATTCGACCCGTATGTTTTTGTCTTTTTTTTATAATCTTTGTTTTTATTATTATTATACAATTTATCCAACTTTGCCATTGTTTCATTTTCGTCAAGTTGACCCATAAAAACCATTTTAAAAAAATTAAAAAATATTTTTCACCATTAACAAATTAAACTAAACATAAAAATGTAAAAATAAAAACACCGATGAATTTAATATATTAATATATACCTTTACAAATAAATATAAAATATTCGACGAAAGACGACTCTATACATTTTATGTCCTTAATTCTCTGTTTGCTTCGAAATTTCGTCAATGTTTTTAGTTGATTTTAATAACTCTAGCAAATCATTAGAAATATGTTTTTATGTTTATTCATTTCATATTCAGTATAGTTATTGACGAAACAATTCATTTATAAAATTATCAAACAGTTTATTTTTTACAGCCTTTTCTTTAGCAGTGGTATTTTTTGTGGATTTTTTTTGTTTCGTAAGATTATAGAAAATCTGACTACTTAAAACACGCTATGTATTATAGAAGAAACTCGTTAAAAAGTTGAGCATAATAGGGGACTATAAAAAATATTTTAAGTGGCTAATCAAGACCAAAAATGGCTTTGAACTCACATCTGTCGCAAGGATATTATTTTGCTTTCACAACTTCGCTTTCAAATCTATTTGTTTGACTAATTTAATGTGAAGAGAATGATTTTACCTATTTATATTAATAAAATAACTAATAAATAACATTATAAGATCTTTTATAATGGTATTAATGATTCATATTGATTTTTAAATGCATTTTTCTACAAATACGTGTATACATTTACACATTTGTGTGATTAGACCACTTGAAATATTTCCACTTGCTATCAGAATTAGTTAATTTTATATATATATAATAAAGCAAATTTCATGCAGATTCTTAATATATATATATTGATTAGTGTTCATAAATGAATTTACGTCGTAATCAGCATTTAAACGCTGACCGACAACTTAAATTCATACGCTAAATTTGGCCGGGGCGCTTGTCGACTTTATGACGTTTGACGTTTGGGCGCTCGAGAGGCTACGATTGCCAGGCGGGTTGGAACTCCAGTTTTTTTAATTATTTTCAGTTGATATCAGGAAGATGTTTATGTCTATCTCATGGTTCGGTTTTCCTCATCACCTGTTGCGGCATCAATGGGACATAAGTGAACTTCCTTATAGCGCTACTAAGCGGCGTTGATTTGATTTCATGTAAATAGTTATTATAAGTATTACATAAGTAACATTTCGTCTCACGACATCTTCGATCGATTCGATAAACGCTTCAAAAATGAAATGTAATACCAGGAATAAAATAGAGTAAGCACGAAATTGTTAACATAATATTTTTAACCTTATCAATAACAATTTAAGTTTCATTTTAGAATAAATATTTGTGTACTTATGACTTTTTATATTCGAACGGTATCTATCGGATGCCATAACTTAAATAAACATATTTTGCAATGATATTTAAACTTTATGTTTGAGTGATAAGGTTTACATTTAACTGAATTTGTTAATATTTTTATTCTTTTTTCTATATTTCATAGTAAGAAATATAGATGTTTACCTGTGTGCAAACGTGGCCACTTGAGCGACTTATTTTTATTCCTGATCCTTAATCTAGTATAATCATTGATCGAAGCACGACATTAATAATAATACAACGTCACAGTAACAATGACACCTACATACAACAACTTCACTCACTTGTATGCCGGCGTGGTTGGCCTCATCTAACCACAGCAGGTAGGACCAGCACTGTTTGTATCGGATGTCGATGCCGTGAAACAGTTCCTTGTTCCTGATGCTCTGCACCACAAACTCAACGTAACCTGTTAAAAGTAAGTAAGTCTCACGCACAGGTCTCCTTTAATTAATAATAGGGTAAACATAACCTATTTAACGATACGAAATAGTAGATCACGTCGGTTTATAAATAAAACATAAAGAAATCTATTGTACACGTCATAAAGCGGTAAGAAGAGGGTTTATCGTCACGCCATCACCTGTGAATGCCGTAAAAGACAACTTATAGGAGCTGGATGCTTGCGATGTTTTTTTAACAAAACTTTCTTCTGTATTATACACCTACTTGTCTTTATAAAAGGGGTTTTACATATATAATATTTTTTATAGGAAAATGGTGACAAGCGAGCACACAGTCCACCTGATGGTAAGTGGTTACTGTGGCCCATAGACATCTACACCCATCATCGTTTGCGAATTAAAATGAAGATGCGTTGCCAGCATTGAGGACTAAGACGGAATGCCTCGTTTCCAGTAAAAAGGGTCTCCGGTTCTCTACACTCACCATACGAAACAAGCAGCATTAAGCTGCTATTTGACGCTGATATTCTGTGAGAGCGTGGTCCCTCCCCGGTCGAGTCGATCCATTCGTGCTACAATTATACAATTAATATAGCTGCAGCATGGCTCTACCACGTAAAAATTGCACATAGACAAACATCTAGATCCGAACCAAATATTTTTAGGTTTTACAAAATCTTACTTCTTGTGGGATTCTAACTACAGCCCTGCTGAACATATAATACCAGATGTAAAATATAATTATTTCTACATCACAATCTCCCTCGATGTAATAAATACAGAGCATAGGATAAGAAATTATTTACAATTTTTAGAGCAAAACGGAAAGAAATATAAACCGTATTTTGGTTGCAACATAATTGGGTCAGTTCGATCGGAGAAGGGCTAACACAGAATGCTGGTTCCCCTCATTTCTGAGAGGTATTTAGGGCAAGGAAGTGTCCGCCGCGCTGCCCCAATGCGTGTTGGCGAACTTCACATGTCTTCGAAATATTTTTTTCTTATTTTCAAACATGCAGGTTTCCTCACGATGTTTCCCTTTACCGCCGAGCACGTGGTAGACACAGAATATTAGAGTGAAATAGCAACTATAACAGCATAAGGCTGTTATTTCGTATGGTGAGTGTAGAGAACCGGAGATTTTTTTATTAATAATGCAGGCATGCCTTCTTAGTCCCCAGGGTAAAAGTGCATCAGCTTTTAAATTCTTCATTTATGACAATTGTCTAAGGACCATAGATCATAAAAAGATTCTTTACTTACTTTTACAAAGTAACATAATTACACTTAGTTTGATAAAGATAATACCGTGTAGTTGCGGAGTAAGGTGTCTCTAAGAATATCCTTTACCCCATATCATACCGTAAGAGGCCACAGAGGGAAACAAATGAAGATGCGTAGACATAACATAACCCAACTATGGCAATTATCCCATATAGACATTTAAGGCAATCTCAGTAGACGATAATGGTTATAAAGAGAATATTACAACGGAACATTCAGCGCAAATTGTGAAGCGCCTTACGTACATCTTACTGTACGCCCCGGCAATGTTGTGCACGATGTACGATGCACAACGACAATGAGGTTTGACGGTAATTAATTATATCTTTTAATCATAATTTAGTAATAATTATTGCCGTAGACGTAGAGCCGTAGTAGCTCAGATGGTTAGCGCTCGCTGTAAACTTCAGAGTACGCGAGCAACCCGGGCTCGATCCCCGTGCTCATTGAAATCGTTAATTGCAATTTTAAGTGCTGAGTTACCACGTGCTCGGCGGTGAAGAAAATCATCGTGAACAAAATATTTCGAAGACATGTGAAGTTCACCAACACGCACTGGGGCAGCGCCGCGGACACTCCTTGCCATAAAACCTTCTGAGAAATGAAAGGAAGACCTTCTCTCATTTATGGGAAGGTTTAGGTGCCCAGCTGTGGGACGTGTATAGGTTGTAAATTTAAATGTTTAATGTTTAATAATTATTGACAAAAGCCGAATTTATCATCTATCACTCACCAATGCCATCCATAACAGTGTTCTTTTTTGTGTGCAGTAGTATCTTGTTGAAATCCGCGTACACAATGGTAGATCCCAGTCGCTTGAACTCGGCCACCAGCATGAGGAACAACTTCTTCATTAGGTTGTACAAAGTGCGACGTAGCGCCGGGTCGTACAGAAGCGCTGTCGGAGTTTTCAGCCACCTGTATAGTCATCATCATTCTCTACACCATTTCCCATTATCTGGGGTCGGCGCAGTAAATCTTCTTGTTCCATTCCTCTCTGTCAGCCGTCATTTCCATACTTACTCCTTTCATTCTCATATCACTCTTCAAACAATCGATCCATCTTTTATTCGGCCTTCCCGTGTGTCCCTCCACATTCATATTCAACACTCGTTTTGTGACATGACTTTCATCCCTCCGCATCACATGCCCAAACCATGCCAATCTGCTTCCTCTCACCTTTTCTACCACTGGAGCTACTTTCAGGCTTCCTCTTATATACTCATTCCTTATCTTATCCATCCTTGTCACACCACACATCCATCGTAACATTCTCATTTCATTCGCATGCAATCTATTTTCATCTTCTTCTTGACGGCCCAGCATTCACTTCCATACATGACGACAGGTCGGATGATCGATTTGTAAACTTTCCCCTTCAGCCTTATTGGCATTCGGGGATCGCACGTTGTGGCTGTGACCTGTCGCCATTTCATCCACCCTGCGTTAATCCTATGCTGCACAGCTCTATCTATTTCGCCGTCGCCTTGAATGAGGGAACCGAGGTACTTGAAATCTGAGCAGGTAGGCAGTATAGCGCCATCCAACGACATGGGTACAGGACTGGAAAGACCGCCGAAATCACAGCACAGATATTCGGTTTTGGATCTGCTGATCTTCAAGCCAACACTTTCCAGCCTCTGTTGCCACCCCGTCAGTCTGCTCTGTACCTCGATGCCCTCTTCCCCGGCAAGCACGATGTCATCGGCAAAGAGCATGCACCAGGGTGCCTCATCCTGCAGGTCCGACGTCAAAGCGTCCATAATCAGTAGGAAGAGGTAAGGGCTCAATGCCGACCCTTGGTGCAGCCCTACAGCCACATCGATACTGCCCGTAGTTCCCGCGGCAGATCGTACACATGTACGGGATGCTCTGTACATAGCACGGACTAACCTCACATACTTCCCAGGCATACCTTTCATCTTTAACGCCCACCACAAAACCTCACGGGGAACCCGATCGTACGCCTTTTCAAGGTCGACAAAAACCATGTGCAGATTTTTATGCATGCGCTTGTACTTTTCGCACAATTGGTGTAATGCGAAAATGGCATCTGTCGTACCTCGACCGGGCATGAATCCGAACTGGTTTTGTGTTATCTCACACTCTTCTCTCATTCTTCTCTCTATTATTCTTTCCCAGACTTTCATCGTATGTGACATGAGTTTTATTCCCCGGTAACTGCTGCAGTTTTGAACGTCTCCTTTGTTTTTAAAAATGGGGACCAGTATACTACTGCACCATTCCTCAGGTATTTGTTCTTCTTGCAACAATTTACCGAAAAATAAACTCAACCACTTCCATACATCCGCACTCAGCAACTTCCACACTTCTACTGGTATTCCATCTGGGCCGACCGCCTTCCCATTCTTCATATTCCTAACAGCCATTTTTACTTCTTCCACACTAATTTCTCTCACTAAGCCCATATTCACTGGTGGGTTTTTAAGCATACCATTCCATTCATTCTCCTCATTCATCAATTTCTCAAAATACTCCTTCCATCGCTTCTTTATACTTTCATCGTCAGTCAAAATCCTTCCAGAATCATCTTTTATACATTTTACATGTGAAACATCTCTTCCATTCCTTTCTGCCACCTGTATAGTAACGATCGATTTTTTTTGTTATTGAACATTTGTAAATTGTAACACTTGTGAATTTTGTAAATTGGTCTATGACTTTTCTTATGAATTCGATATTAATTCCGATTCCCGACTAGCAGGTTTCTACTCATACATAAAGAAAATTTTATAAATTACGTTAATTTTAAAGCATTCTATTATGTATTACTATTTTCGATATTATTTTATTGCATTCAGTGCATACTGTAATCACCAATAATAGTTAGTAACATTGAAAGTAATATTCTCTTATCTTATTTTATCTTAGCATGTAAATTATAATATATAAAATGATAAAAAGTCATAAAAATCAGCTTTTATACACTCATAATGTATAAAACCTGTTTTTTTTAAATAAATTAACATTAAAGCCTTCTTGTGAGACAAGTATTTTTAATATACAGATTTTATTAAATATATTTAATATTATAAGTCTAAATATATTTTTTCCTTTTGAGCTGCCCCAGTGCCAAAACTTTAGCAATTTAGAACTGAAGCAGGTGTGATGCTTACGAAAACTGGTTCCCTGTTACTGATCAATGCAAAGAAATCTCGACAATTTTGTATAACTTCAAGTTATAATAAAATAATAGGGTTCTGAGTTAAATTCACTACGCCGTACTATCCCGTAGGTTTCGTTAGAGGAAACAGCAGGAAAATTCAATTCAATAATAACAACTGCAGTTGCCGACTTGTCTGTTAAGCGTGGTAATTTTTTTTGACCACAATCCCATCTGGTGGCAAGTGGTGATGCAGCCTCAGATGGTAAATCGCACTGTCTTAGCGCAACAAATGCCTATTCACTCTTGCCTTGAAGACGCCCAGATTGTATTCGGACGGAAAGATAGACGCTGACAAATCATTCCGCTCTTTTGCTGTACGCACTAAAAAAGTCGAAGTAAACCGTTTGGTTCTAATGCATGGAATATTGACAAAAAAGGGGTGAAGACCTGCCGACCGTCTGGTCGTCCGATGGTGGAAAGAAGAGGGAGGAATTAAAGCGTGCAATTCCTGTGCACTCTGAAATGCATCCTATAGAATACTGAAAGCTACTCTACACCTGTGCTCGAGGCTGACAAGGTTGGTTTCAACCAAATCAAGGTCACTAATGACCCTCTTAGCATGTGAAAAATATTTTTTCTGTTAGGTAATCTATCGGGGAGGCCTCATGTTCAGCTGGCGATACATGTTAGGCTACGATGATGAGAGCTAAAAATATAGAATATTGTCCACACTAAGCGTGTTATTCACCTGTAAAAGTGTGATATCTGATAATCGGCGAAGACATTCTTGTAGAGTGTGACGTCGCGCAGCCACGACGCAATCATCGTGCGTAGGATCTTGAACGCGGCGCTGCACTGCGCCGTCTCGTCGTAGTTTACAGACGGATTCGCTCCTATAATTTCAAGCAACTTTAATTTATGATATAGATTTATTTTTACATTTACTTAGAGCTAGCGCGCACTGGTGATTTTTGTCACCCTGAAATTAAAGTTTTTGTCAGTGTCATGTCACGTTTCCATAGTGAAGTGCGCTCATTAAGGGTGACAGTAACAAAACTTTTTTGAATTCGAAACGTCATTTGCCGATATGGTTTTCGAAGAGACGTTCGTTGTCTGTAAACTCATCAGACTCAAGAGAGAAAAAAAGCCAAAAAAAATACAGGGTGCGCCCTCTTTGGATTGAGAGGCTAATAAGTGGAAAGTTCTACACTATGTTTTATGAACTTCGAGAACATCGAAATATTTTTTTGATATTTACAAATTGTTAGGCGTACATTACACGCTCATGCCGGCTGTCAGTTTTACAACAATCACAGTTGTGATCAAAGATTTAAATAGTTAGATGTGCCTTCACCTTGAAAACTGTGGCATTATTTTTAGATGTGTTCCTTTGCAAGACGCTGACGGGCTCACACTAATGCAATAGTGTCATCTCTTATTATCTTACAGAAATTGTGTATACTACTTTCTTTGACGCACAAATGAGCACTGATTGCGAATGAGTAAGCTCCCTCATTTGAGAATGGACACATTTCGGAGTGGTCATACTATGGTAAGGGCGCATCTAACTATTTAAATCTTTGGTTGTGATTAACGAATTACCTACCGTGCAGTGATTGATGCCTGCATGAGCGCGTAATGTACGCCTATCAGTCACCATCCGTTTTTTATCAATCATGATTGATGGAATTGATTGACGCCTGCATGAGCGGATAATGTACATGAGGATGTGAACACCTAAGGCTATCTGTCCCGGTCGAGGAAAAACTCGGTGTACCTTTAAGGTAAGTTAAAAAAAATTAATTATGTTTATTACAATCAAAATACAAAAGTCAAACAATATCAGCACGGGAAGTGATTAAGTAAGAATTTATTTAATCACTTCCCGTGCTGATATTGTACTCCTAGCAAAAAACTTTGGAATCTTCATTAGAGTCAGCTGCAAACTGTGAAACATACGATTGAATACTACTCGAAGCTGTGGCGGTCTTAAAGAGGCAGAACACTTGGGGTTGATTTGTAAATGTTCAGGACTTGTAGATAAAATATACATAGGAGAAGGAGATGAATGATGACTCGGCCGAGGTAGAGAGACAGAATACTTAGGGAAAATTTTGAGTCATCATTTATGACGCGGAGCGGAGAGTGACAATTTTGTCTCCATACACATCCACGGATTTGATATGAGTGAGAAAACAGTCACGGTGACAAAAATTACCAGTGTGCGCTTGCTTTTAAATAACATAAAATATGTATAGAAATTTTATTATGATATAAATAAAAAGAAAACTAACGCTAGTTGCTTTACCTCGCTGAATGGCCTCAGCCTTCGAGCGGGAAAAGAACTAGTCCTAATGTAAATTGCGTTATCGTTAATTATAATATTATAATTTGTAGTACAATTTGACTTGAAACCGTAACAGACCTTGTAACAGTCACGTTCGTGCGGGACTTAACTAATCGATTATTGTACGGTACGTTTTACTTAAGTCGCACATAAAATGTATTATATTTTTTAACATTTATTGAAACATATTAATAAATACAGAACAATAGATCTTTAACCAGTAACATCAATTAGAATACTTTAAATTACAAACAAAACATTAAATAATTTGAAGCAAGAAATATAAAAAAATACATGACACAAAGTCATTTAAATTGTTTGTACATTTTTAGCTTGAAATGTATTTTTTAAAGTACAATTATTAAAAACACAATTACTTTTCTACCATTTAACATCACATTACATACAGACCCTTTTTACTGGAAACGAGGCATTCCATCTTAATCCTCACGGGTGACAACGCATCTGCATTTTGATTCGTAATCGAGGATAGATGTAGATGTCTATGGGCCACAGCAACCACTTACCCCATAAAAAATAAAAATAAAAATATTACAACTGCTAAATAAATATGACCGTTGTGAATTCAGGTTTAAACGTTTACATACGAGTAATATAAGCAAACATCTGGATCATATCAAACTAAAATCGAGTCCCGTTGCACCTTTGGTCCCGTTTAATTAAATCTAGAATAATGTTGTAATTCATGAATTGAAACATTTTGATTCTTTGTGTTTACTATCAAAACTCAAATAATCATTTTGAATTCTACAATTTTTCAATTAAAAAGTGGATTTAAGTCACTTGTACAATAAGAAAATGTACGATTACAGGGAACTTAAGTAACCGATTATTAAAACATGTAAAGTTAGTGCACTCGTTTCGCTCGTGGGCTAACTTCGCACAGTTCAATAATCGGCTACTGATGTCCCTTGTATCGTAACGAACTATTTCTTTATTCATGACAACAGTGGTAGCTCAGGGGTTAAATGCTCGCTGTAAATTTCACAGTACGCGAGCACAATGGGTTCGATTCCCGCCGGCACCAATGAAATTGTTAACTGAAATTTTAAGTGCTGTGCTAAGACATGAATTTCGTCAACACGCATTGGAGCAGTACGTCGGACATTTATTTGCCCTAAGACCTTCTCAAAAAAGAGAAGGGGCATATGCACAGCCGTGCCAGCTGCAGGATGCGGCGCGACACTCACCGGCTGCCATGGCGTCCTGTATGCTGTACTGTTGCGCGCCGAACGACGTGGCCACGCTGGTGCCCTCCAGCTGCAGGATGTGGTGCGCCTGCAGCAGCGCGCACACGCTCAGCGCGTCGTTCTCCAGCTCCACGCACACGCCGTATGCGCCGCTCGCGTTGTGCGTGCAACCAGACATCTCCTCTACTTCGCTTACCAGCCTTAAGGAAAGTTTTTAAATATTTACATTGTTTACATGATTTGTAATAAGACAAAAAAAAACATAGACATAACAATATGTACATTTTAAGAGAATAGGAAACCTTGCTCCACTTATTCACAAGCACGCACGCACACATCTTTGTGCTTTGGTTTCTATCACCCCGTAAAAATTCAGAAATTACATAACATGTAATAACCTCAAAAATTAAAATCCGAAATGCGGTTACACCTAGTTCTAGTCGGCTAGAACTAGGTGCGGCCAGCAGTAGTTGGTTGAATTTAGGTGTACTGTTAAATTTGTAAAAAATACGGAATAACGTATCAAGCGACAGTAGGCTAAGGTGTACCGCAATCGACCTTTTATTCGCTGGCTACACCAAGGTGTATCCGCAATTTCATCAAATTTTAACATACTACTGGCCGCAGCTAGAACTAGGTGTAACTTCACTTCGGCTATTAGCCGTAACACATAGGGTGCGTTTGGCAGAAAAAAGCGCTAGCAAGCGCTTATAAGCGCTAAAATAGTTTTCGACCAGGACACGATTGCTACTTCAGTAGCGCTGACACAATCCGCCATTTTGCTTATTTAATTTGTTTGTTTTGAAGTAGAGTTTATAAGTTGTTTTGTGCAATATTAGTTTTAAGTAATATAATGACATGAATAAACATATACATGCTATTAAAAACTCATGATTGGTAAGTTTTTAATATGCATACTTTACAAACATATATTTAAATTAGGTTAGATTCCCCCGGTTAAAACTAACATTGTGTCCTGGAGGAAAATAGCTACTTACGATTTGACAGCGCTTACCGATTACGATCGCCATTTTGCTTACAAGCGCTTGCTAGCGCTTTTTTCTGCCGAACGCACCCATACACTACACACATTTTAAGTGAGGACGAAGGTATGTTCATCATATTCATCACACATCTTTCTTCTTCATTCTTTACCAGCTCATAATTACATTAATGAAATTTAATTAGTGAAATTCCTAGTTTATAAATAGGTAAGAAAAATAACTTGCCTATTGTCATCTATCTCTCGACCGCCCAAGTCTGGTCTCTCAGAATTGGAACACCACAACACGAAGTTATGCTTGATCAAGTGACGCGCAAAGAAGAGATCTGCTCCAAATAAAGTTGGGTCTGAGGGCATATTACCCAATGGCACATGGAAATATCTGCATAAATGGAAAAATAAATAAAGTTCATCACTTAATATAGATAAATACATATTTTTCTTTATTAAAATTTATCTGTTTTCTTAGCTTAAATAGCTAATTAATAACATTTGGATATTTACCTGCACTGTTCAATTGTCAGGTGCAATACAGACTCTAAGTTAAGGTAGTGACGAACGATCGCCCTGGCGCCAATCCGTTGCCACTCTAATGTGCTATACAAAGTCTCCACATCACGAACGTGGAGTGGTACCAAAGGAAATTCTGAGAGACCTAGAAAATAAATATATATTAGAAACAAGTTATTAGTAACAGCGACGGCGATTAACTCGTAACTTCCGGAACATACTTTATGTTTTCTTTTTATAAAACTGAATTAACAAACATCTCACAGTTTTGTGGTGTAATGCGAAATGTTATGTAGTGAGTGTGGTGTTTTGTAGTTCTTTGCAGTGTGTACCGTTGTGTTGCGATGAGGTGTAGTGTTATGTGGAGTAATTAGTCGCCCAATCAAAACAAGCAACGTTCGGCTGAGGGACTTCGCCGATGCCGTCAGCACTGAAAAGATTGCAGCGGCGATGGCTGAAGCAGGGGGTGGGTTCAGTGGACAACATAAAAGTCGGAGAAGTCAGCCGAACACCCACTAGCATGGGGACGTGCTGGGTACAATGTCCCATCGCGGCGATCCGTAAAATTTCAGCCATTGGGAGAGCACGGGTGGGTTGAAGGTCTTCTCGAGTGGAGGTACTAAAGACAAGGCTTCTAAAACAATGCATAGAGGCCTATGCATTGTTTTAGATGCCTTGAAAGAGGGCACATTGCCAGCAGGAGCACCAATAAGTAAATAGAGCGGCACACCGTTACGCTTGTGGTAAGCCTGGGCACAGAGCTATGTACTGCGTCGACATCCAAGTATCCTTTGTGCTCAGATTTTGGGCGTCCTGCCAGCCACAGACTGGGAAAAAAGTGTATTCCCACCTCCTAAAAAAACAAGGGTAGGAAGAACGATCAGACTCCGTCTGCTTCCATAAACAAGACGGACGCAGTGACGTCTGTCATGGAGGTGGTGATCGAAAAATAAAAAAAATTCACACCCCTTGAAATCCGCCAGGGCAACCTGAACCACTGCCGTAATGTACAATATCTGCTTATGGAGACCAGTGTAGAGTGGCGGATTTCCCTTGCAGTAGAAGCAGAGCCCTATGCCGTCCCCGACCATCCTTTCTGGTTCGGTGATGAAATAGGTTCTGCCATCTACTGCAGAGGAGGCCCCACCCTGCGCCTGCTACTGCTTAGGAAGGGAGCAGGGCTCCGTTGCAGTGCAATGAGGCTCCCTGGCCATAGTGGGCTGTTATGTCTCTCCCAATAGGTCCCTTGCTGACTATAAGGCGTACCTAGATGAGGTGGCGAACTGTGTTCGCGAATGTTAACCTCGTCCGTTGGTCGTTCTAGGAGATTTTTACGCCCATACCCAGCGCTTGGGGCAACTCCAGAGACAATCCGAAGGGAGATACGGTGATGGAATGGGCGGCTGGGCTGGACCTCCGATTAATGAATCAGGGGTTTGTAAGCACATGTGTGCGGTGGCAGAGGGAGTCCATCATGGATCTTACATAGGCAACTCTTCCTGTATTGCAAATGCTGCCAGGTTGGCGAATGGCGAAGGCGGCAGTCACACTGTCTGAACACCACGACATGTCGCACATCGTCAGCCCGACAGTAACCCTAGCCACCGAGGGAGCAGTCCACCGCCATCGTCGCGTCCAGACCGGAAAACGCCGAAGAGACACAGTTCGATCATAAAGTAGAAGCGAACTGATTTAGGGGTACGATGACGCAAATTTACGACCTGTCAAGGACCTGTCCTGGAGTGTAGTGTAGTGCACTATAATGTAGTGTAGTGTAGTGCAGTGTCGTGTTACGCGATACGATGGCAGCGCGGTGTGGTGTAGTGTAGCGCACCGGGCACGAGCGCGAGCAGCGCGGGTGGCGAGAGGGCAGACTGCAGCGCCACGAGCGTGGGTCCGCAGCGCTCGTCGCGGTAGCGCTGCAGCGCGCGCGCGACGCCGCGCCACACCGCGCGCGCCTCGCTCTCCACCTGCACCTCCCACGTCAGTTCCGCGCCCGGCAGCTCCGCCTCCGCAGTGCCCAGTTTTATCCTGCATATTATACACCCTATACAAGCTCCTACAACCGATTTTATTTACACGCATCGCAAGCTAATGAACAAGTGCATTACATTAAGGGAGGGAACCACTCCTAATTCAACTATTGTATAAATAGCGGAATCATAAGTGAAGCCTTGACATTCGCAATAGTCGATTTATAGGTCTCTTTGGTGAAGTAAAAGGGTACATGGGCCCGGGTGGGTACGATATACATTCTTTCATAAAATTGGTCACTTTGGGTGAAAAATGTATAACCTCAAATACTGTCACTTGTGCTCGCGCCTCGCGCTGCTATCTATAGCTAGTTTTCATTTAATTTTAATACATATTACTACGGTTTTTCTCTTGCACTCAATCTTTTTCTTTTTTACGTTGTAAAATTTTGTCTTCCTTTCGTGGTAGAACCATCCTGCAGCTATATTATGGTTGTAGCACAAAAGGTTCTGCTCAACCGGAGAAGGACAACACCCTCACAGAAGGATTCAGGGAGCTCATAACTACCGATAATTGGCATTCCCAGAAAAAGGCCTATGTTCAGCAGTGGATTTGTGGTGGGCTGTAATGAAGATTATGATGTCGTTCGATAGTATTTGTCGTGTACACACTACGTTGAACGCTGTCGTAGTAATGCGTAACTGCCTCGTTGGTTTAGTGGCGAACACAAAAAGCGCCACTGCTAATCATGTGGTCAAGCCATAATCAGTTTTTAAAATTATTCTGTCAAGAAATCGTCAGTATCAACCGTCTTGACAGAAATTCGATCTGGAAGACACATTATATTAATATTAGACTAAGCTCTCACATTAATTTTTTTTTTCTAGTACGCGATCCCCAATGGCATCAATGAAATTGTTATTCGTTATTTAAATTACTAATTTACCACATGTTCAGCGGTGATGGAAAGCATCGGTTAAGCGGCGAAGTAAAGCTGCATAACCAAGGAATAAAAATAATTGTAAGACATGTGAAGTTCACCCACTAACTTAGTAGTGGTAGCAGTGCAGAGGACTTGTCGCTCCAAAACCCTCTGAGAGGAAACGAAGCCTGAGCCCAGCGTAGGTACATACGTTATACGCTGCAACTTTACTTTGTTACTTTTTACATGTGTGTCACATAAAAAAAATATTGGATATTTCTACAATAGCACTGACACTAAGCTACCATGGCTGTCAAAAAACTTAGAAAAGTTTATATATTTAAATAAAAATAAAATATAAAAATTGTTATTGCATGCTTACTTGGCAGTCCGTTCGGCAGTAAACAGTGTGTTCATGTTAGGAACTTGATTTGTCTTAACTGTATCGAGCACAAATAAGTAGGCCTTCTTGATGGGGCCTAATATTAAAGACCACATGCTACGGCTCGAATTTAACGCCGAATGTTGGTAAAGAAAAATATGTTTTATTGGTGATACTCCATCCTGAAAGATATAATATATTATAAAACACGCTAAAGTGATTATTAGTTACCAAGATGGAGGATTGATGACCAGTAACTCAGTTATTAATTAATAGGTATAAAACATGTGAAGTTCGCCAACACGCATTGGGGCAGCGCGGCGGACACTTCCTTGCCCTAAAACCCTCTCAGAAATGTGGGGAGGCCTGTGCCCAGCAGTGGGACGGTATATAGGCTGTAACTTTACTTTACTTTTAGGTATAAAACAAAAACTGAGTGCCAACATTAACGGTGAACAGTGGGTTTCGTATTGTTCTCTAATAGAATCCGTAAAATTAATTTTACTAGTGATCCGCCCCGGCTTCGCACGCGTGATTTCTGGATCTTGACAACAGCACCTCCTAGCGGTTGCAAATGTGAGTATTGTTGCTCGCTATAATTAGCGCCTGGTATGTGGCGGCTGATTATATAAACAGCAGAAATAGGAGCGTCAAGATTTTTGCGCCCTCCTTTTTTGCCAAGGAGGGTCGCGCCGATCTCTATTTGGACCGTTAAGCCAGTCCCTAAAAGGTGGGGTTTAGTGGGTAAAAGTCTTCACATAACCACGCAGCCGGCTGCATGGTATGCTATGAGCATTCCCCACCTACCTCCCCCGCTTTCCGGAGGGTTGCCCATATTTGCTTCGGGCGCAAAAAAAGAGCGTCAAGATCCTTTCAGAACACTCCCACTAGCACTATCTAGTATCGAATGGAAGAACTGAGCTTTCTAGAATCCTCCACACTCGAACTTTCTGCACCTGATCGGTCGGGGCCGGTATTTGCTGGAATATTCTGGATGTTTCGGTGGAAAAGGCCTATATAAAGCTATTCAGGGCCGCGACCGGGGCAGTATTGAATTGGCGATACGAGCGAAGCTTTCGGAGCGAAATAAAGTGTTAAGTGTGATTAGTTATTAGTGTAATTTTAATTGGTGTTCCATAATTAAAGTGTAAATTTTTGTAATTCAATCGGCAGTTTTTATTGTCACGAGCCCTAAGCTCGTAACAGTATAAACCATCTGGGGACCCATTCAAATACACACAAAATTTTTCATCTAAATCGGTTGGATGGTTTCAAAGTCTATAATGGACATAGGTAGAAACATTTTTTGTGTTTTATATAGATGGATAAAATGTTTTATAGTCTTAAATATTATGTATAAAATACTCACTTGTTTCGGCAAATAAGGTTGATGAGCGACACTCTTAAACTGAAGTTGGTTTAAAGTAAATGTGTCCATGTTGTTGGAGCCGATTTGAATCAGTCTAAAAAGAAAATAAAAAGTTTTGATCAAGTGTTTTGTGTAAAAAAAGGTTTGCTTCATCAGTTCGTAAAGCATGCAGCAAAGGAGTGGTAAAATTTGCCAGCGTCTGTTTTTCCCTACGATTAAAATATCAGGCGTCTTCAAGGCAATAGTAAATAAGCTTTTGTAAGGCAGTTAGGGATCTTCAGCTATGTCTCCATTGGCCATCAGTCAAGCACTGGCTTTTATTAAGTAAAAAAGGAGTGTTTTGCTGCGCATATTATCTCCAATAACGATAAATCGAAAGTGAAGATATCAATTCTCAAAAATACACTAAATACTGAATGGTAAAAAATCAAAATCTCACCTTCTAACCTCTTGCGGATCGACGATGCAAATGCAGCCCAATTGCACGAGTACTCTGAATTCAAGACTCATTTGTGTTTCGTAGATACCTTCTATTTCTGGAGCTGACAGTTCTCCCATTAACTCCCTGTAAAGTTTGAAAAATAAATAAATATTAGCGAGTATCGCGTATGGTGTAAACAATAAATGGAAACTTTTTCCTCAGGCGCCAACTTAATTTACACATCATGACGTCGTCCTTTGATAACAGAAAATATATCATAAACTTCTTCATCACCCCGTAATATAATAATACATTTAATTAACATATAGGTTTAAGAAATTTAAACAAGAACAGTGAGCTAAACATCTAAAGAATGTTCAAGATAAGATATACAAATTATTTTCCGTTGGATTCCAAACTAGGACAATCTTGTATCGTGGAGTCCGCGAGCGCAAGTTTACTAGAGAATCGTACACAGTCTATGAAAAAAAATGTGTGTTTGTATGTGTGCGCGCGTTTAAGTTGACGACAACGACTTTATTTATAAAAATAATTTATTTATACAAAATTACAGAGTTACAGCTTATAATTACTTCCAAAACTAAATCCGTCTTACAGTTAACTTAGCCTAGTATTTATATTAAAATATCTCTTACTAAGCAACCCGTGCTATGACGCACGGCCTAATTCCTGTGATTGATTGTGAAGCATATATTAGAGGGGTCATCACACTTAACCCGCGCGCCTGTGTGTGTGTGTGTGTGTGTGTGTGTGTGTGTGTGTGTGTGTGTGTGTGTGTGTGTGTGTGTGTGTGTGTGTGTGTGTGTGTGTGTGTGTGTGTGTGTGTGTGTGTGTGTGTGTGTGTGTGTGTGTGTGTGTGTGTGTGTGTGTGTGTGTGTGTGTGTGTGTGTGTGTGTGTGTGTGTGTGTGTGTGTGTGTGTGTGTGTGTGTGTGTGTGTGTGTGTGTGTGTGTGTGTGTGTGTGTGTGTGTGTGTGTGTGTGTGTGTGTGTGTGTGTGTGTGTGTGTGTGTGTGTGTGTGTGTGTGTGTGTGTGTGTGTGTGTGTGTGTGTGTGTGTGTGTGTGTGTGTGTGTGTGTGTGTGTGTGTGTGTGTGTGTGTGTGTGTGTGTGTGTGTGTGTGTGTGTGTGTGTGTGTGTGTGTGTGTGTGTGTGTGTGTGTGTGTGTGTGTGTGTGTGTGTGTGTGTGTGTGTGTGTGTGTGTGTGTGTGTGTGTGTGTGTGTGTGTGTGTGTGTGTGTGTGTGTGTGTGTGTGTGTGTGTGTGTGTGTGTGTGTGTGTGTGTGTGTGTGTGTGTGTGTGTGTGTGTGTGTGTGTGTGTGTGTGTGTGTGTGTGTGTGTGTGTGTGTGTGTGTGTGTGTGTGTGTGTGTGTGTGTGTGTGTGTGTGTGTGTGTGTGTGTGTGTGTGTGTGTGTGTGTGTGTGTGTGTGTGTGTGTGTGTGTGTGTGTGTGTGTGTGTGTGTGTGTGTGTGTGTGTGTGTGTGTGTGTGTGTGTGTGTGTGTGTGTGTGTGTGTGTGTGTGTGTGTGTGTGTGTGTGTGTGTGTGTGTGTGTGTGTGTGTGTGTGTGTGTGTGTGTGTGTGTGTGTGTGTGTGTGTGTGTGTGTGTGTGTGTGTGTGTGTGTGTGTGTGTGTGTGTGTGTGTGTGTGTGTGTGTGTGTGTGTGTGTGTGTGTGTGTGTGTGTGTGTGTGTGTGTGTGTGTGTGTGTGTGTGTGTGTGTGTGTGTGTGTGTGTGTGTGTGTGTGTGTGCGTGCGTGCGTGCGTGCGTGCGTGCGTGCGTGCGTGCGTGCGTGCGTGCGTGCGTGCGTGCGTGCGTGCGTGCGTGCGTGCGTGCGTGTCGTGCGTGCGTGCGTGCGTGCGGCGTGCGTGCGTGCGTGCGTGCGTGCGTGCGTGCGTGCGTGCGTGCGTGTGCGTGCGTGCGTGCGTGCGTGCGTGCGTGCGTGCGTGCGTGCGTGCGTGCGTGCGTGCGTGCGTGCGTGTGTGTGTGTGTGTGTGTGTGTGTGTGTGTGTGTGTGTGTGTGTGTGTGTGTGTGTGTGTGTGTGTGTGTGTGTGTGTGTGTGTGTGTGTTTGTTGCTAATGGCGTTTGACTGCTGGATAAAAGTATCTCCACCTAAGGCCCTACGCCTTAGTTGTCACGCCTGGCAGACGGATTGTCAATCGCTGCAGATGCACCAGTCGTTCTGCGAGCTTTGTCCGTCGCCACTCTTGATTTTTTACGTTAGGTTTAAGCGAGATAGCTATACCGAGATCTACCTGAAGCCATAAGATATTTTTGTACTGGTAGAGATGCAGCGCAGGGTGCAGGGTGTAACGGTGGAGCAAGGGAGTCCCCTCGGCTAGTACAGTGGGCGCGAGTGGTGCACTCACTCGTGATGGTCGCGGTACAGCTGCTCGGGCACGGTGTACTGGTAGAGGTGCAGCGCTGGGTGCGCTCGCGGCAGCACGCGAGCGCAGCGCCGCCAGTAAGGGCCGCTGTCGGCGGCACGGCTCACTCGCTGGTTCACGTAGAATACGCGGGCCACCGACAGCCGCACCTGGTGCAGCTCCGCGCCCACCAGCGCCCACACCCGGAACAACCCCGGCTCCGACGTCTCCGCCACCTGCATCACAACATCCGTGCAAACCTTCACAAACTCACTGGTGAACATAGACCTTCCTCAGAGAATGCTTCATAATAGATACGTTAGATCAGCGATTCCCAAAGTGGTCTATATCGACCCCTAGGGGTCTATGACAACCTGCAAGGGGTCTACGTTAGCGAAAAAAAATTTGGGGGTCCATGAAATGAAAATGGGGGTCCACGATAGTGGATCTCAACACATACACTGATAGTACCTATATACTTACATCATACTATCTTATAATATCAAAACATATACATTATTTATAAAAGATTTATAGTTTATTTTATATTTATTTAATGTTACGTATATTTTACATAACAGATACAAAATTTTATTTTGAGTAGTTTTAATTTAAATTCAGTTGATAAATGTATATATAAATTAACATGTGTTTTTACTTTAAGTTTTTAACACTAAACTTCACTACAGTTAGAAATTTACAGGAAATCAATATCAGGTAAGTAGGGGGTCTACCCAACACGGAAAAACATGGCAAGGGGTCTACGACACAAAAAAGTTTGGGGAACTCTGCGTTAGATCATGAATGAATTTCGCCAATGGCAACGCTGTATTATTTGGAGTTGTTATCAGGAAGATGCTATAGGCTGTCAACGTCGTGCAGTCCGCGCCCGCGGGGTTACAGGGATTGGCAAGGACGAGGTAAAACGGTCTCAAAGGGGAAACGAGCGGTATGCGGGAGGACGAGCGAGCACGCCACGTGCTCCGGAGCGCCAGACGCCGGTGGTCGCTTGCAACGGTTACTTATGTACTTGGCGCACACGACATTACAATCCGAAGATGAGCAAACCGATTGGACGACAATCAAAAGAAATTGTGTATAACATATACATGTGTCTTAAAATATACTTAAGTATCTAGTACCTAAGTCCATTAAAAGCTCCTCATGAATCACTCCGTCTATTGGAGAAAACTGCATGAAAATCCGTTCAGTAGTTTTTGAGTTTATCATACAGACAGACGCGGCGGGGACTTTTTATAACATAAAGTGATTTAATATTATATCGAATTCATCACTACATCACACAATACTTCGTAATAAACCTAAATATAGGTCTCCATATTAATCTCCAGATAAATCGATCCCAAATCCCTACGTGTGTAGCCGTGGGCGTGGCCTCGTGCACGAGCTGCGTGCTACCTCGTCGCTGTCCACCCTGTACCCCGTGGGCGCGGACTGCACGACGTTGACGGCCTATAGTGCCTACATCATATTTCAGTTTTACTTTGTCACCTATTTCAACACCCACAGATCAGTACGAGCAAAGTAGATAACAGACCCAAAGTGTAGCGGCGCTGCCGTCGCCGCCACAAGCGAAAACACACCGAAGCCTAAATCACGCTATCAACATTCCGAATCATAAACAGTATATAGAACATCTCCGAACTATCACAGGGAGTGTGAGCCGCTCCCCGGGCAGAACACCTTGCCCGGCGGGAGATCTCCCCTTTTCCCACCACGGCCACAGTGGTGACCAACCGACGTGATCTGAACACGCAACCAAACAACAACTTTCGGAAACTTCAAGCTTCATCATCGTCATTGAATATCCCACCGTATCGCTCCCGAGCAGATATCGTCTGCAGTCTTCATATCCTGCAAGCCATCTAGCTTCACAAGGTTCATCGCAGCATTGGAATAATAATGCTTCCTGTTCCTTCAAGCTACTCTCTGCGCCATACAGTGTTCGGCACGGCTCTGAGCCTTAATGCTCGCCTCTGCTTCACGGCACTCTCGCAGATTACTTGCCTTCTTCTCGACTCACCGCAGACTACAAGGCAATCCACTGGCACTTGCACATTCGTCGGCAACAAGGCTGCACTAACGACCTCCGGTCTGAGCAGGGGGTGATGTAGCGGCGCTGCCGTCGCCGCCACAAGCGAAAACACACCGAAGCCTAAATCACGCTATCAACATTCCGAATCATAAACAGTATATATAGAACATCTCCGAACTATCACAGGGAGTGTGAGCCGCTCCCCGGGCAGAACACCTTGCCCGGCGGGAGATCTCCCCTTTTCCCACCACGGCCACACAAAGTCTTACAAAGCTGTAGCTTTATAGACACTTCAAAATGTGTCCAATGTTTCCGTTACCGTTTCCCTTACAGCCTATCAAAAATTCACAGCTCAACATAGGCTTCCATTAAGGAATGACACTGCATCCATCGACATCTTGCATGTCTTACCAGGTTGCCACTGCACTAATGGGGTGCTACTGCTCCACATTTTGCTTACCAATATGAAGCTGCCACTCGAGAACTTTTCTTCCTAACGATTGTCTTTGTTCTTTGAGCTACGTGGACGGCCTATTACCACTTAGCTTACAGATTAGTTGAGCTATGTCGGTTAATTAGATTCCATTGCGGATATCCTTATTATGCAAAAAAAAGAAATTTCGTTAAGCTTTCTCATACGGCCAGTATCAAATCATCTTATATCCATGTCATCACTGGCAATATATACTTGTACAATCTTGTTTTCAAGTTTTGGGGTATACGTGACGAGAAGATGTGTAGAAAATCCACAGCTGGACATGGGCTTTTACCACTTGAGAAAGGTTTTGTCACAATCACCACCATTGACAATTGCACCAGACAATCGATCCAGACATTCCTTTGTATACTAAATATAATTTTGTCACACTAAATTTGTCCAACATCATTTCTACACTAGAAAACAGATGCATTTTACTTTAACCCTTCTATCTGAATAAAAAGCCAATGCAGTCGCATGCGCCCAGCAAATCCCGAACGGTCGCATGCGACCGCACCCACCCGCCCAGCACCCATACACCCATGGACCCAGCACTTAAACCATTAAAACTTATGAGACTCTTTTTCTATTAAGAAGTTTGGCATTATAAAATCTTTACAAAATTCTCTACATGAAAGTCATGTTTTACTTCATTACAAAAAGACTATTGTATTTTGATAACAAAAACAAAACATAACAAGCGAATGTCGGCAGCGTGAAAATCACAATTATTTCAATATATATTACTCGAATTTATTTACGTAAAAAAAAAAATTATATTCACACAAAAACTTTCATTACAATTTTATAATAAAACACTTTAATAACACACTAGAAAAATCCAAAAATCAACACAATAACATTCACGCGAAAATGGCGTCCGAAATGAGCGTAGATTATAAATAAATATCCATAGGATAACTTGAATTTTTATTGCACTAGAGGATAGAAAATTTCATATTGATTCTATAATGCTAAACTTCTTAATAGAAAAGTAGTCTCTAAATATAAGTTTTAATGGTTTAAAGTGCTATGGGTGTGCGCGGTCGAATCCGACCGCTTGGATTTTGACGAAATAGCGCCGCAGTCGGATTCGAACGCTTGGGAACTCAGAGGTTAATATAGTAGTCACGACTAAGATAGATATGGCCAAAATACGACAGCTCTATACCTGTATGATTTGCCATGGTGTGTTCAGAAGCGTACGCTGCGCCCTTCTAATAAAGCCACCCAGTGAATTGACGGGGCCTGTGCTTTTGGAAATCAGTGGTGCAGTGTTATCCATTTTCCCTGAAAATAAAATCTTAGTTTTAACCAATATACTCTAACAGTGTTAAGAGTTTGTTGGTTTTAAATAACCAAAATGCTTTTTTTTAATTTAAATTAATAAAAAAATTTTTATTAATTAATAAATAAATTTAATAGAATGAGTTTGGCATATAGACATAGAATTCTTCATCTATCGTCAATTAAGAATGATGAGTTGATTTCTTATTTCTTACCACGTTTGCTCCGGCTACGTAGACCCCGCTGTTCCATTTGCCACTTCCACTTTTTCTTTTGGAAAACTATCCAAGCAATTCGCTCTTCCTAAAAACAAATGTATAGTGTTACACAATAATCAAATAGTTTGACCATGTTTTCATGAAACCCAGTCAACTGCACTATTTTTACACCGTATTTAATATTTTATATTATATAAGTGTGTATGTATACATGGTTTTAATGAAAATTATCGCAGATTATAACAAAATGATCTCAATCGATTTATCATAACCCATGAACCATCAAATACTTGCGTCTAAAAATATAAACATAAAATCCCTTTTAAGAGCGCGTCGACCAAACGGAGTGGGCGATAGTTAGGTATTTCAAATAGACTTGCTGGCTGTTTGCTTCGTTACGCACACAGCCACAATTTCCATCGAGCGAGAGCGAGACTGTTTGCAGGTGGCATGTCAAAAGTACGTAACTAAATATTTGAAAAATTTAAGTTCTTGAGTTTCTGTAGTCTATTTTTTTTTAAATTTATTTAGTTTATTTCTTATATTTAATATAAAATAAAAGTATATTTGAATTTAGATCGTTTTTATTTTCATATTAAACACATCTTAATACAATTTGAAACTAATACAAGTTAGTAATGCTAACAAATGTTCATTTGCTTTCTATTTATACAATCCAAGTTTTGTGAACCTTTAAAAAAACATTTATATAGTTGCAACAGAACAGTTTTGTTTCATTTTAATAATATAATCTGTGGCAAAAGGAACAAGAACAATGAAAAAACATTTTCATTCTTAATATGTAGTTTTGACTAAATGCATTATCTTTTATTTCCTCACACTAAGAATTGTAAAATGCTCTAAACTCACCTCCCGCACTTAAATCGAAAATAACTTATTTGACAATCTTTTGGCGTTTTGATGTGTTATTTACTGTCATTTTCCGTTTCGTTTCTTTTACGTTTAGTGCATCAAGGATATATTTCGGTTCTCGTATTTCCATTTGTCTGTCTAACCGCGAATCAATTATTTCTGGTAGTAAACAATTAAAATAAAATATTTTCAATTTATTCTCTATTTTGCGCCAAAAATCTATATCTTCCTCAATTAATTCAATTTTCATGTCTACTTCAGTCCAAACAGCAAATATGCAAATTTTTCGTCGTGTGACGTGCAGTTGGCCTTGTGCCTGATAGTACCAGTCATGTGTTTTATTTATAAAAATATTACCATCTTTATCCCGTTTCCAAAAATTTATTTTTTTTCCTCTTATTCCATCGTCGACGCTCATTCCTTTAGCTGAGTAGGGACATTTTATTTCAACGATTTTGTTTTCGTCTACAATCCCATCTGGACTAGCTCCTAAAAATGGCAAATCAGGGTCAACAAATAATCCGCATGTTTTTATGGAAGTTTTAAGATGTTTTTCCAGTTGTTCCCGTGCGATATGTTCATAAGTTTTACCATGTTTAATTGACTTGACATGATCTAAATTTTGTTCCATCAGAATAGTTTTTACCAAAGGTCCACATTTTATCATCCCTCGTTTGCACACCTTTCCGAAAATGGATGCCGTGAGCCGCAACTTCCGCTCTTGACGCCATTCAATTGAATCAGCTTGTAAAATTGTTCTTCTTTCTAGCAAGTGGCGATGTTCATCAGATAAAGTTATGTTTTTCATATGCTCCGTTTTGGCAAAATCAAAATCAGCTTCACTTATATCAGGTTTTTCACAAGATTCGCCATAATTTTTGTCTTTACGATCGTTAGTCAGCTTGTTTGTCGCAAATGACTTATATACTTGTCGCTTTGCTGAGCTCAATCTTTTGATATTTTTTGTCCTTTCCAGACGTTTTATTAATTTATTTGGGCTCCGGAGCAAAATTTTTTTACTCAGGTATGTAACTGGCTGTTTTGAATTAAAAGAAACTACTGATGCAGCACATCGACCGCTATACGACCGCCTGCTCGAGTAGTTTATTCTCTTTCCGCCAATAAACTTGGCTATTACGTTATTAAATATTTCAGCGATATTGCTATTTACATTGTGCATTAGGCTTGTGGCATTGTTTACCAATCTCGAAAGAATTTTCAATATGGCTGTAAATATAAAACCACCTTCATTGCTTTTCATGGCTGGCACTAAATTTTCTTCTATTGACGATTCAGTTAAACTTTTGCAATAGTATGATTTACAAGAGCTATGATTGCCAAAAACGTGGTGTGGCCCGTTTAACAAATCTTGTTTCAGTTCCAGAACTTTTTCAGCAAAAGTTTTATTATCTTGAGCTTTAATGTGTTTCACGGCAGCAGTAACTGAACGTCTTAATCGTAGTAAATTATTTTGGATAGCTTTTCGATACTTTAATGGGTAGGTTGTATTTTTGGTCAGCTCATCAAGTTTTGTACAATAATTTCTTATTAAATGATTTGTACATTCAATCTTTTCAACCAGTAGATTACCATAAGGTTTTGCTTTTTCAATATTTTTGTGTGTGCTGGCATCACCATCTGCTATCAATCTAAAATATATGAGACCGTGAGTTTCCATTGATGTTTTGAAACCTTCAACTAAAGCTGTTGATTCCATAGCACTTGAAGAACCTGTATAGTTTTTAAAGCATATGTGTTCTGGTACTTGAATTTTTTTTATTTTCCGCTCTAGTACAAACCATACAATATTTGTTTTTGACCGCCATGTAGAGAACTTTCTTTGTCCTGTAGCCTATTATAACTGCCGCGCCTGATAAAGCATTGTAGTTTTTCCTATATGATCGTTTGGACCAACAGCCATCAGCAACTACAGTTATCAGCGGAACTCCATTTACATCTACTTCCCCATTGAGAACAGCTAGATCGTGTTCTTCCTTTGCAGCTTCGCTCATGCATTTTTCTTTAGCAAGGTCCCATAGTTGACATACTTTATTATGACATTTTGTGTATAGTTTGTCTGACATACTGGGAATATTAAGGGAAGCAGACACTTGTTCTAAACCAGAAAAACCTGTTCCTATTGACATAAAACTAGCCACAGCATCATCATTAATATTGACATCAGCAGGGCTATCAGGTTTTTTACAGTTTATTAATTCTAACTTTTTCCCACACATTCGACAAACGAAGTAGAATTTTGATATAAACCCTTTCCTGACCTCTTTAGTGAGTCTTAAAAAACTGAATTCACAACCTATGGCAGAGTTGTGATTTGAGATATCACGTATTTGGTGCAAAAGGTATTCAAAATCCACTATTCTGTTTCCTTCTACTTTGATATCCTCTTCACGTTCGGTTTCATTTTCTAATATCAGTTCAGAATCTGAATGCTCCTCATGTTGGATTTCATTTTCTACTGTAAGTTCTAGATGTTCCAAGGAATCCTGAAAATTATTAAAAATAAACGTCAGTATTTTTTAACTTCAAACTAAACGGGTGTCTATGGTTTACACTATTGGCGATATAAAATGTTGCGGATGAAATTACTAAACTCTATAAAATCTTTATAATCATTTTAAAATTGATTTATAAACTGACATGAGAAACGTGTAGAACTTGTCGAGACCTCTCATTTGAGACCAAACACTAGGAGTTTATCGCCATTAGTTTACTAAGTATAAAAAAAAACAAAATGACGTGAGAAACGAGTAGAGCTTGTAGAGACCTTTCATTTGAGACTAATCACGAGAAGTCGATCACCATTGCTTCACAAGTTATAGTCAAAAATAAAGTTATAATAGCCTATTTTTATACAAATTTGGTTTTTTATTCCTGCATTCCTTCCTTCCGGCTACTAGAACGGCCTTGGTACGTATTATAGTAAGCCATATTTTATTACTTAATAACTTTGTTATAAAGCACTTACGTGATTAATTTCTTCAGAATCATTTTGGCCAATTTTGACAGGAGTCTTGTGAGAAATCTTTTTAAACCTAGCACCACCTTTTCTTTTAAAATATCTTTCCTTACGCTTCCCCATTTTTTCTACAACAAATTATAAAAATTATTATATTTAAAAAATATCGATATATATTTTCATTATATATATACACATACAATATATATATATATATATATATATATATATATATATATATATATATATATATATATATTGAATTGATAAGTAATAAACAAATAATTCTAATTAAAAATATTACAAAATAAATTAAATCAGAAAATTGAAAAAAATGACTTACTTTACTTTACTTTACGCCGTCTGCAGAACAATATGATATGTACGTATGACGTACACAAATAGATCGCGAAATTTGGCTAAGGCACGTCGCTCCGAAAATGGACGTGACCTCTCTCTCTGAGCTCCCGCGGGCGAATGATTTCCCGAGCGCGTGCGTTCGGATTTATATTCAAATTCGGAGTTCATATATAAAATGTATGGCGAATTTGGGACGCTTTTTAGAAAATTCATAACTAAATCACAAAGCCAAATATAAAAAATGTAAAACGGACGAATTGTGGTGCATACGTTGTAGATTAATATTAATTCCATGTTTTGAAATAATTGAACTAATTTCGATAAAAATTTAACTAAACGGCAACATACCATTTTTAGGATTTTGTCTAACTTTATGAATTTTTAAAACAGAAACTAAAGATATTTATTTATTTTTGCTTCGGAATAAAGGTAAATACATTCTTAGTGATGTTTAATAAATAATTTTTATATTAATTATTGTAACCATAAAGGATAATTTCACTTAACAGTGACTATCTTTTTGAAGTATTTTGCTCGATGGGCTCTTAACTAATATAAGTAATATCAATAGATTATTTAGAGACCAAAAAATTAATATCTCGATATTAGCTGACAAACACTAATTGTTAGTTTTTGTTCATAATCTTTCATAAAGCCTATAATAGTTTTAATAATGAGTCTAAGAAGAGAAACAGACTGATCCCACGTACTGTTACATCCCTATTTACACTGTCACATCACTATTTGTTAAAGTAAAATGCTGACTTGCAATTATTGCTGGTTTATTCAAATACAATATTAAAAATCAGCAATAATTTTGCTATAAATACGCAAGACTTTCCTAAATTCGTTCAGTTGGTTATTCTCCAGCTAAG